AAAGGTATAGAGATACAAAAACAGTTATCAGTTTTTAAATGACTGACTCGTCTGCTGAAAATCTCATTTACTACATAACTGAAGACCTATAATCAAAAGAAATGATTATAACTATCAGAAAATAATAATATAACTTTCAAACAATTTAAATTATTTTATATTTTTCACTTTTTTGTTAAAAATTTTATCATGTTATTTTTAAGGGTGAGGAATGATGAAAACAAGTTCACTCTTAGTTTGAAGTTTGCTTTATAAAGTTAAATTAAAATATGTAAAGAAATAAAGTTGGCGTTGAAACGACTGAAAAAGATGTATAGACAAGACTTCTTTAGAACTTTTGACAACCGTAGTAGTTTTAGATTTTATCATGCGCCTCAGCTATAACTCATATGAAGTTTCACCTATAGTAATTTGTCTGTCAAAATTTCAACTTTTTATGATTTCAGTTTTATGGCCAAGACAGTTAAACATCTATAAGGTATACTGAGTTATAGCATTTTAATTGAAACGCAAATTAAAAGTTCAAACTTGCCGTAGGTCAGTTGCTTTGAATGATCATAATTGAATCCTCCAAAGAATAAAACAGACATGGTGGTCAATTACATTCTAACTATTAAGATGGCAGAATGATTTTTGCAAGAGATGCAGTTAACAGTCACTATATAATACAAGTATAAGGTTATGTCTATCAAAGGAGATATGAATAGAGGTTTATGCCACATTGAATCAGTTCATTACAATACTATACTCCCATTAATTTTTTTCTGAAATACATTCAGTGCTTTCCTCAGGATTAGAGCAATTGGGAGTGTACACTATTGAAAATTAGAAAATTACATGCCACCCTATTGAAATATGTATGCACTCTTGTCAAAATGGTGTGAATAGTGAGACATTTTGACAAAAAATGTAAAATTAGGGCGATGGATATCAGTCACTGAATTCTTCACTAAAATCACAAATTTTGTTCAATTTACACAAAATGTGAAAAAATATATGTGTTTTTTCTATGTTCAGTAATATAACTATCAAGTATTGTGTACACTAAGAAGAAATATGACATAAGCAAGAAAAAGATGAAAAATGCTCTGGTATTCATGAGATTAAACACAAACTGAAACTACATTGTGCTCAGCAATAAATGAAAAAATGAAAAAATACATAAATATTAATAAGAATTCATTTTCCTTGTATACATTTTATATTAATCATTTTTGTAAATTTCCGATTCTTTTACATTTTCATTTCAATTACTGCCAAACCTTTGGGATTATTGATATTCAAGCAAAGTTGTGGCCTTTGACATCAATCATGTATAGAGATGTACACTTCCCTCCATAAATTTGGCAACCGAAAGTTATCATTTGGATCATGCATCAAAGCTCGCCTGTGTTTGGTGATTTTAAATATTTAATTTTTGTCATAAATATCCAAACTGTTGTAAATAATGAACACAATTAAGATTGACATTGACAGACTTTGATGCTTTCCAATGAAACTTTCCAGTTGCCAGGTTGCTAAACTTATGGAGGGGAGTGTATGCCTCTTGTTTTCAATGACATGTATAGCACTTATATTTGAAAACAAATCAAGAATCTTTCAATAACTGAATAATAAAAAATGATCGATCACAATGACCTAGACTTTCAGAAATGTTTTGGAGTTTTATCTGGCCCTTAAGGCTGCTCGACCAAATCTGCAAACCCGAAAACATTGTTAAATTATTAAAGATACAATGTCTGTTACATGTATATCAACTCATTGTTCCGCAATCTTTGATCCTATGTATTGATACCCCATCTTGAGTTTTGATTTTTGAAATGATATCCAAATATGAAAGAAGTTATTTAGGATATATGATCAAAGGTAGAAAAATTAAATGTAAAATTCAATCGGTTGGTACTTCCTTAAGTTGCAGCTGCGGTTTGCAACTAAGATGTAGGGTCAGTTTGATTTTAATTATCAATTTAAGCATCTAAATTATCAAAATATCATTGTAACAAGGCATGTAAACAAAGTAGGCATATTTGATTCTTATGTATGTCCTTATTTTAAATTAATAGTATTAATAGGTTTTCCCAACTTAAATCAAATCCCTATTGCTCAACTTCCTTGAGATGGTGACATCATTATAATTTGATAGTTGGGAAAACCAAAATATACGGTAAATTTGAAATTTAGCATTTAAAAACATTTTCTGTTTCATTAAATTATGGCTTTAAATTTAAATTAAATATCCATCATGCAAAATTCTTCTTTGAAGTTATGATATCATTTTAGCATGACACTTTTTTTCACTTTCTTGATGCTATTTTCCATTTTCGGTTTCCAAGGTATAAATGTTCATGGTGTCTTTTAAATTCAAACTAGTGTACGGTGATCAGCGGTTATGTAAAATCATAAATACAGTAAAACCTGTCTTAGTGAACACCTCCCTCTAGTGAACACCTGTCCCTAGTGGACACCCTTCCTACTCACATAGTCCACTGACTTCTGTATAAATTACCCTCTCTCTAGTGAACACCTTCCTACAGTGAACGTTTTTTCTTGGCAAAAAAATGTTCACTATACACAAGTTTTACTGTAATGTGCAATCTTGTTCAAAATGTTTTAGACCCTTGATATCTATTAAATACATGCACTTAAACTGTCACTTATAAAAATCTAAAATGTATCTTTCAGTAAGGCAATGTAACCTTCTATACCATGTACTACATGTGATTCAAGTAGTGATTCAAGGAGATAATAGTTGGATATAAAAATCATATCTGTCACTGGCAGGAAATGGAACAATCTCCCTACTCAGTTGCATCTTTGCCCAAAAGTTTTTGACCAGATCAGTTCAATAATTTTCCGAGAAAACTACGATATCTTACTCTATACCCTCTTTAGCCCTTGACAGAATATCTATATTTCCCTCAGGATATACCCCATATCCATAACCTTCCATAACATAGCCCTCATATACCGTATTCAGTTTCTGCAGATATATACCATTTTTCATCAAGATAAACCCCATATCTAAACCCCAATAACACATAAATAGGTCAAGACAACAAAATAAGGTGAAATGATTTTAGAATCCATCATCAAAAATTACTAGTAAAATATAACTTATGTGTTTTAATTTAGCACCTATGGGACCTGTTTTTAATGTATGGATACAACAGAATGCAATAGCAAACACCGATACAGTAATTCTAGTATTCTGAAAAATTTGTCTTGTAATATTTGTCTAAAAGATTAAAGTAGGCCAAGCAAATGTTTGTCAGTAAAACAGAAATTCAAAATGTCAAAAGTCCAGTTCAACCTGACCTTGTATTGCAAGGGAATAGTAATTCTTAAAGGCTCAAACATGGGTAACAAAATAATTCTTAAAGGCTCATACATGGGTAACAATGCCTACTTTAAGTATGGTGATCAAACACTCAGGCCCATAGCAAGGATTTGCCAAGGTGGGTTCACTTTTTGAAAAATTCCAGGGGAGGTTCACTTGTGAAATTTTGGTCCGAAAATGGCCAAAATCACTTAAAAAGTGCTCAGAATGGTGAAAAACTGCATGATTTTGAAAGTTTTTTGCCCAGGGCCTACACACTACATCTTCAGTAAAATAGCAATATTCATGGTACAGTGAAACCTGTATATTTGAACACTTTTCTAATCTGAACACCTCTCAATGCGAACACTTATTCTCGATCCCAATTTTGTCATCTCCAGACTCACATATTAAGAAAACATTGAAATGTGAACACCTGCTAATCTGAACACTTTGAGAGGACCCTGTGACTTTCTGATTAGAAAGGTTTTACTGTATAACTATCCTTTCATATAACAGACTCTTCCTTAAGAATACAGTAGAACCTGTGTAAGTGGAACACCCTTGGTACCACAAAAAAGAGTTCCACTTACAAGGTGTTCCACTTACAGAGGTGTTCCACTTACAGAGAGGTACATTAACACAGAGTCAATGGACCACAGGACTTTTAAAAACCCGTTCCACTTACAGAGGTGTTCCACTTCGCAGTTTCTACTGTACTTAGCAAAAAGTGCTTAAGATCATACTTTAAGTCTATGAATATAAAATAAATAAATCAATAACTAGATCTATGCACACGTTTTTCAAAAATGAACTTTGATTGTAAATCAATGTAATCGTATTTAAGAGTAAACACAACTATACAAGTCTAGTCAAAGTATATGCGACAAGAAATGAAAACAGTTGTATCACTAAAAAGTTATATATAGTTTTCCATCCTTCTTGATCAGGTCTTTGCTATTACATAGCTCAGGAAAGAATTGAAATACCCTTGGACCAAGGATGACAGCTTCCATTTAAAAATACTTTCAAAAATAAGTAAAACATATAAATCTATGGCATGCAACTAAATCCATTTACCCATTGTATGACACTGGTAATTAATGAATAACCATATCTTAAAGATAAAAAATCAATTAAAATCAATTAAATACACATTACTCTAAACATACTTCTTGCTTACTTGAAGCACTGTATATATTTTTACAACCTATTAACATAATGGTAAAACATTAATTACTTTCTGAATACTGAATACATTTTCTGGTATACTACAGAGTGAAAAATAACCTTTGAACAATTTAATATCACTTTAATTATCCTATCAAGCACATTCCTTTTGCAAATCAATTTGGAATATCAGCCTGCCGTTTTTTGGTAGGCTATCGAAAAACAGTGTGAACAATCTAAAATTAGTTAATCCCTGTCAATCAATTTTGAAATACACACCATTTTCTGCTCCATCATTAAAAATATTATCAACAATTTGCAATTTGTTTATTTCAATTAAACACATCCTTTTTCAATCGACATGTGTTTTCTGACATGTGTTTTCTGACAGGTGTTTTCTGAAACACCCAAAACATATCAACTTTAAAAAACATGCCTCCTCTTTTCTTCTACACACACCTACCCACCCACTATGCCATTTCTATAAAAATATATATCATAAATGGTCACTTACCTTGCTCAGTCTGAGTTAAAACCCTGTGAAAGCAGACAAATCCCAAGATATAACAACTAAAGAAGAAATTTATCATTGTGTGCTAGCTATCCTGTAGGTGATCCAATGTTTGCAGGTAATCTTCGCTGATAAAACATATCCACATGGTCCTTGATTATATAGTACTAAATCCAGGATAGGCTAGGCTAAGTTCCTCCAATATCAAGTCAAGATAAGGCACGAAATGCAGTCACCATTTCAAATTAGATTTCAGCAGGTCTTTAGCTTGAATCATGAATGAAACTGAATTTCAAATAGGGACCTGTCATTCTGCTATGCACTAGAATAACTGAACAAATACGGAGATGTCAGACTGACATCTATTGAGATAAGTGTTGATGTTTGTCTAGATATTGAATATGTTGTTCAAGGTCATTAAACAGAAGAAAAAACTTAAGGCAAAATGAAACTAACAGAGAGCATGTAATGGCTTTAGAAAAATTTAGATGTGAAATGTACTTTAAATAGACGGCTTAGAGGATAAGTATAGTGAACATTATTATCTCTTAACTGATTAAGTGAAAAATTTTCGAGAATGAACTTGTTCAAAGTAAAAAATTTCTAGAATGAGCTTGTGTGAAGTGAGCACCTTTCTAGCAAAATCTTATGTCTGAAGTAAACATATTTCTAGAATTATCATCTCTTTTAAGTGAAAAACTTTCAAAAATGATCTTGTATCTAAAATGAACACTTTTAAAATTTTATCCAAAATATGAATCTTTTTAACAAAATCTTCACTATTGCCCAAATATACAGCCTCCCAAGGTCAGCCTATAAATGATCTTCCAAGTGTTAAATATGAAATTCACGCATAACGAGGCAAGGCGTGTCCAATTCCAGCCATCAGAACACTTAAATCCTTAAATGTTCTACTGATATGATGGCAATATCAGATATTCATATAATAAAAAGCATGTTTTATTCACAGAATATTCAGAAAATTAAAATCTAGATAAAAAAGTGATATCGATTTTTGTACTATTTGACTTAAGTATCAAAATAGGATGTAGATAAGTTGCACATCTATACTAAAAGGTTATGTCACTATTATGTGAAATATGCCTGAGATCTATAATATAGGCTGACCTTGGGAGGCTGTATATTTAGGCAAGAGTGAAGGAAACATACCTTAATATCCTAAACATCCCCATTTCCCATTGACTTCCATACGAATGCTTTCCTAGGTATGTAATACCGCCTTATACACAGCCAATATAATTCGGCGCCATTTCAGCATCGAAAACATTCGGTGCTGTTCCGGCACCGAAACCTTTCGACACCAAAATTTGCCACCGGACTAGTCAGTCCATTTGACACCAAATTTTGGCACCGAAACAGCGTCGAAAATCAGATTAGATTTTGGGGGTGAAACATATCTTTATATACCAACAGTAAACAGCAACACCTGTATATAGTGAGCACCTAATGGAGCCACAAGAATGTGTTCATTGTAAGTAGATGTTTACTACAGAGAGGGAATTTTATACAGGAGTCAATGAAAAATGTGTCTTGAAGGTGGTGTTCATCTGGCTAATATATCACATCAAGTATCTGGTCCCTCCCAATATCTTATTCCAAGTCTCTGGCCCTCCCAATATCTTATTCCAAGTCTCTGGCCCTCCCAATATCTTATTCCAAGTCTCTGGCCCTCCCAATATCTTATTCCAAGTCTGTATGGCCCCTTCCAATATCTTGTTCCAAGCCTTTGACCCTTCCTTATATCTAACATTAATGAAGGTGGTGTTCTTTAAACACAGGTGTTCACTAGAGGTGTTCACTAAGACATGTTTTACTGTAAATTCAACAAGGCATTAACATGCAAAATGTCACCACTTGCTATTTGTTACAAAGCCAAACGCTGATTGCTGAACACCAACAGCCGAGCACAATTCACAAAAAGTTGACAATCATAACAATTATGTCACCACTTGGTGGTGACATAACTATAAGTGGTGACATAACTAGAATAACATGCCTTAATACATATCTTAACAAGTTTTGGAGAATAACTATCAGAGTATAAAGATTTTATTCAAACACAGTGGACAAATTTCAATTCATATTTGTCAACAAAAAATCATTTTTAATGTCTCGGCGAAAATGACAATCCTGTTTGACTAATCTTATTTTGGTACCACCAATTACGTTCATTGGTACCTATTGGTACTGCCAATTACTTTTGAGTTAATTGGTACTGCCAAAGCAGGTACCAAAGTTTCTTATTACAGCCAATAGTGTTGGTACCTAAAAGTTCATTGACACTGCCAATTATATTGGTTAATTGAAAGTGATAGTGTGAATTATGTTGGTGCCTAAAGGTCCATTGGATCCAAGAAGTTCCTTGGTACTGCCAATTATGTACAGTATCTAGAAATTCATCAGTGAGTACCTCATTTAGTGTCTTATTTTATTGGCACTGCAGATGGTGCTAGTTCCACCTGATATTTTTAGCAACTTTCACACAATCCTTTTATAAAAAAAACAACAACTTATGTTGGTCTTTATCTCACTTTTGTTTTCCAATCATGTCTGGTAATGTCTCTAAGTTAACTTCTATACTGTTTATTCGTAAAAATGTCTGCCCTTGACGTGTTACTGAAAAAAAGAATTGAAAATGGAAAATTAAATCAGTAGGATTTTCACGCTCATTTGATCATTTGAAAAATCATTTAGCTTCTTAAATTAATATCCTTACATAGCTTGGCAATGTGTGTCCAATTCCAGCCAATCCGAAGATGCTATTTCACATAACTGCATTCTATTATATAGGTCAGCAGCTGAGCAAATTTTAAAAAATAAGTTTGTCCCCTAAGTTTCTCACTGGATTCATGTAGAGCAAGGTCTTGGGCTTATTTTGAGCTTGGGTTCTCTGTCCTAGCCCCGGCAACGAATGTGAAAAATTGTCCTATAGGTGGCGCCCCCTACAATTCACCCCCAAACTTAAAACTAATTATTATTTTCATAATTGAAACATAAAGACATCTCAAATAGCTTAAATTGATCAATGGTACATTAAATTATGCATTAAAAATTTTTCAATGTGTGAAAATCATAATTTATGGAGAAATAGTTGATTAACCCCTTAAAACACCCCCTATTTTAAAGGGGATACTTAAGTCAACTTCCGTAACTTTTGTGTTATTCAGGATTTGGGCTTAAAAATATTCCTGAATATGTACAATTATGGTGTTGAGAGACTGCAGTAACCCTATGTTCATAGCTTTATCACTTTTTGAGAAAAAAAATAAAACGTATTTCCATATAATTTGGATTTGTATTATTTTCAGATAAACCATCATCTATACTTTTTAATTTACTTTCCATACCTTATACCCATGCATAGTATTAATACTTTTCTTTCATTTTAGACCAATATAGATGACTGTAGTTCACTTAAAATAAATAATAATAAAAAATTTAAGCAGAAATTATTGATTTACCTTTTAAAATACCCCTTTTAAGGGATACATACACTATAGCTTCTATAACTCACTGTAACTTATGTTTCGTTCAATATTTAGGCTTGAAAATATGCTTGAATTTGAAGACTTGTGTGTGTGGGAGACTTAATAGTTAACCTTTGCTTCTAAATAAATAAATAATTTACCATATGCTGTTGTCTTTGTAAATTATCTCAAATTCAGATTCTGTTGTCATTGATGATATCGAAGACGCTATATTGTGGCGATTCACGACCCCATTTGATAGTTTGGATTTCATATAATACATCATCACATGAGCTTAATACATGCACAGAATTAGTGATGATAAAATCCCATGAGAAACGAGGACTAAATGATTAAAGAGTTGAAGCGACAGTTATGTCCGCCATTTGTGACAACGGTATCTGACTTTATCAAATACTCAGCTTGACCCATTGGAATATATGGCTTCGTTCTTGAAAATGATCTTGATACAAAGGATATTCTGTATATCACCTGATGATCTGATTTTACAATGTAATAAACCAGATGCGAATAGGCAGTTACCAGTTTCACCGCCAGGAGGCTAATTCGGGGCCGATAACATGGCAGGGTATTAGAAAGTTCCCCTAAACTTGGATATTCATCAGCTTTAGTGTTTCAATTTTCATATCACCTTATGTATCTGATAGTTATACACAGTACAAATTAAAAAATATGCCCAGTAAAAGAAAATGTTATCTGTCCAATACAAGCAAAGATATTTCACTTCTTGTGATTTTATTAACATGGGGTCTATGGGGAATCTCTTCGACCTAGAAATTGCATTTTCAAAGAAAATTAAATTTTCAAAGTTGCAAAAACACATTCCTAGATGTAATTTTACATGTAAATTTCAAATATGATATCACTTTGACTGAATTTTTAATGGTGCAAATCAAGATTATTTCTACTTCCATCTAATTTATTATATAGTAAGTGTGGTACAAAACAGATTATGTGAACTGAACAAAATTAATTGTTGCACGTTTTGTAAGTGCAAGGGAAGTGGTAACTGTAATTACCATCTAATTAAGCTTTTAGAAAGTGTTGTAAGTAATGCATGAACTTATTAATCTGATATCACTGTGATACTATATGTATGTTTTTTCGAAGAATCATCATAACACAACCAGCAGAAAGTGTTTTTCTTCGTATGTTGTATCTTTGTATATATTGGTCAGGAAGACGAGAAATAATATATATATTTGTTAAAGTGTACATGCATTAATATTTCTCCATAAACAAAGAAGGGTATTTATTGGTTGTGTTGCAGGAATTGTGCCAGCACTACCCAGTCAATAAGGTCAGCACAATACAAAAAAATATTACACATACCATATCCCAAATTGGTTTTTCAATAGTCTTAACTGAACCCCTAGTAAGCTAAAGACTGAAAGAGGTGCTTTAATATCCTCTTTTGGTTCTTTGGTTATTTTATAGCCTTAGTGCTATCATAATATGCACTGGTTGTGCCATAATACCCCATATTTTTGTTTCATTATATCCCTTATCAATTCCTTAGTATACACAGAGAGCTTTAATTAGTTTCTAAATACCCATTAGTGCTCCCTAATATGCCTTGTAGTGGCTCTTTAGGGGCTAACAGAACACCATGATGACCTACTTGGAACCATCATGAGGTTTCAAGAGTATACTAGGGAATCACTAGAGGCTACATGGAACCAATGTGGGTGACAAAAGCACAACAAGGGCATCTTTGGGAATCACTAATTGATATTAAAGTACCAATTGTGGCTATCAAAGCACCAGCAAGGCATATTAGGGAGTAGTAGGGCAGATTTGGAAACCAATAGGGATTATTAAAGCATCACTAAGCAAACTGAGGAATCATTTAGTGTTATTAAGGAACCAATTGTGGTTATCAAGTTCAATCAGAGCCAATCAGGGCATACTAGGTTTTAACACTTTAAAAGGAACCAATTTGGGATATTAAACCACAGCCAGCCATACTCGGTTATTGCTAAGGTTATTTCATGAACCTGATAGGAGTTAAGCACAACCAATCATCACAAAGGTATTTTAGGAAACATATGTTTAAAGCACAACCAGACTACCAAGGAACCAATTTGGTGTATTAAACCACAACCAGGGCATACTACATGTAGGTAATTGCTAAGGCTATTTAATGAACCAATGGGGGAAATCAAAGCACAACCAAGCATACAGAGGAATCACAAAGGTCTATTAGGAACCATATGTTTAAAGCACAACCAGGATATACTAGGTTATTGCCTAGACTATTGATGAACCAATAAGGGTTATTAAAGCACAACCAGGGCATGCGATCTTATCACTAAGGCCATTACTAAAGCTATTAAAGAACCAAACAGGATTACTAAAACAACACCAAGCATTCTAAGTAGTCCCCAAAGGGCTACTAAGGAATCAATAGGGGTTATTAAAGCACAACCAGACACCAAGCATTCTAAGCAGTCCCCAAGGGCTACTAAGGAATCAATAGGGGTTATTAAAGCACAACCAGACACCAAGCATTCTAAGCAGTCCCCAAGGGCTACTAAGGAATCAATAGGGGTTATTAAAGCACAACCAGGGCATACTGGTTATCAGTAAAGCTATTAAGGAATAAAAGGGGGCTATTAAAGCACCTCCATGGCATTCTAGGGAATCACCAAAGGCTATAGAAGAGCTAATTGAAGCTATCTATTTATCATTTTTGTATTGTGCTGACACAATATACTGGGTTTTGTTGGCACAATCACTTCAACACAACCAGTAAATATCTTTCTTTGTATGGAGAAATATTTATATCTGTACATTTACACTTAAACTAATATATGCATACAGGGTGTTTCATATGTATAAATCCCCCATAAACTCATACATGTCATATTGCCACACCATCATGTTATATATATTTTGCTCCTTATGGAAAGTTACATAGGATTGCATAGTTTCAGAATCCAGCGGTATCCCTGAAAAAAGAAATGCCGTATCAAAGTATGTGGGTATGGGTCATTTCGAGGGGAATTTCTGGTCAGTTTGAAGGCACTTTTAAGGGGAAATTAAGTTTCTGTATTGCAAATTTCAAACAGTTGTCATCATGGCAGAGTTCAGTGCACATGAGTGTGACAGTTATGCACAAAGATGTATAGATAGGATTCTTGCAGTGGCTTATGGAGAGGCCAGGGACCCTGGTGCGACCTCTATCATTAAAAATGGATACGAGAAAAAGTGCACAGATCACCGGTCCAAAAATCACCAGAAAATGCCCTCTAAATGACCCCGTACCCGCAATCTTTGATACAATGTATCTTTTTTCAGCGATACACCTTGATTCTGAAACTTTGCAATCCTATGTAACTTTCTATATGATACATAAAATGATAGGGTAGCAATGCTAGATGTATGAGTTTATGGGGGGGGGGGTGCAAAGATATGAAATACCCTGTATGTACATTATTACTTCTCATCTTTCAGATCACTTGATGAAGCAAACAAAGAGAAATAAATGTACTTATTCAGTCATTGAGCACAATCCAAAAAACAATATATGTTAAGTAGTAATTGTTTTAATTACTTTACATGTTAGTAAGTAACCTGCAAGGAGAGATTGAATCTTTAATTATATAAGCCCATACATTGGTTCATCCTCTTGGAATGCATGCTAGAGTATTTAAAACTCAGTTATTGGATTGTGGATCTTGGTGAAAACATGGACTTAATGGTCGCTAGGAGATTTATCAGGTTTGGGGTTGTCTCATGACGACTATAATTTTGTTTTTATTCAGAAATGTTCGATGGTTTACATTTGCTATTAATATTAAACTCACCATTATGAATACCAGCATAGTAAAACATTCATTGCCAAACATCATAAGTTTTCAATGCATGTGAATTTCAAAAATATTTCCTTAGTCTCCCACACACACTCTTTAAAATAGGGGGGATTTTAAGGGGTAAATCAATTATTTCTGCTTAAATTTTATTTTATTATTTATTATTATGAACTATTATGAACTCCAGTCATCTATATTGGTTTAAAATGAAAGAAAACTATCAATACTATGCATGGGTATAAGGTGCGGAAAGTAAATTAAAAAGTATAGATGATGGTTTATCTGAAAATAATACGAAACCAAATTATATGGAAATACGTTTTATTTTTTTTCTCAAAAAGTGATAAAGCTATGAACATAGGGTTACTGCAATCTCTCAACAGCATAATTATACATATTCAGGAACATTTTTAAGCCAGAATCCTGAATAACACAAAAGTTACGGAAGTTAACTTAAGTACCCCCTTTAAAATAGGGGCGTTTTAAGGGGTTAATCAACTATTTCTCCATAAATTAAGATTTTCACACATTGAAAAAAATTTTAATGCATAATTTAATGTACCATTGATCAATTTAAGCTATTTGAGATGTCTTTATGTTTCAATTATGAAAATAATAATTAGTTTTAAGTTTGGGGGTGAATTGTAGGGGGTGCCACCTATAGGACCAGTTTTCAAATTCGTTGCCGGGGCTAGGACAGAGAACCCAAGCTCAAAATAAGCCCAAGACCTTGCTCTACATGAATCCAGTAAGAAACTTAGGGGACAAACTTATTTTTTTAAATTTGCTCAGCTGCTGACCTAATATGACCAATAACAAACTCAAGGTCACTACTTAAACGGTTGTCAAGATGACAACTGGACTAATCAGACTGAAATTGATACCTTGCAAACTTGACACTTGCAAAAGGTTTAATTGAAAATATGTTCTTTAAGTGATTTCCTTTCTTTTAGATGATTTTGTAGAAAATATGTTGCAATGTGTGAAAAGAATTTAAGCCCAAGACTCGATTCATTGTGTAATGACCATTCCTTTCCAATGTTGCTTCTTAAAGTTAACGTTCGATGCTCTGCATCTCGTGCAAATTTTGGAAAGCAACACTTTCAAGAAATGGTCATTCCACATTGCATTGAGTCCAGGGTTTAAATCCTAAACATATATTTTAATATTCCTATTGAATGAAACTTTTGGTGAATTGAAACTGATTGTAAGATTCTCGCATCTACAGGTGTTAGAGAATACAAAAGTAGAGAATTATTAGCCATTTTTAAAAACACTTACGTCGCATTTTTCGCACATCCTTTCGCTTTTTATATGTGAAAAATATTTTAACATATTCTAGCGTTTTTTCTACGACAGTAGCTTCGACGTTCACCATATTGCGACTGAAAATACAAACACAAGGTCTCTAGTTTTATTTTAGAATTTAATACTATGTTTAGTGCCATCTTTTTAGACTCTGAGAACTAAACCCAAGATAAAATTCAATGTTTTTTATCGAGTTAAAGCTCTACAATACCATGCAATGTGTTGCTATTCATCCTCATTCATTCTAACATTTTTTACTGGAAGGGGGGGGGGCTGCTTTTTAACCATTTAAGCCGTAAGTTAATTTGTTTAAGTCATGAGTTGTTTGACTGAAACTATAAGTTGATTGATTTAAAGTACAAGTTGATTGATTTTAACCATTTAAGCTGTAAGCTGATTTGCTTAAGCCACTAGTTCTGAGATGTTTGACTGAAACTATTGGTTGATTTAAACTACACATTAAAGGATTTAGATTGCATAATACATAATACAAGGTGAATGATTTTAAACCCTTTAAACTATAAATTGATTGATTCAAGCCATTTGTTGCTTGACTTAAACTACAAGTTGATTGATCTAAACAAGTAATTGAGGTACAAGGTACTCATTAAACCTATTAGGTGATCTATTCATATAACTCCTTGTTTTAAAGTCACCTTAGAAATAATCCTAAAACTTATCTACTGTAACAACAAACATGAACTAAAAAAAGACAATAAATTTGAGCAAACATTCCACGTCTTACCTAAGTAATGGTCTGCCAATTAGGGTGAAATCTTGGCTTCCGACTAAAAGCACTTTTTCTAATCTTATTTTATCGCCAATATCAGCTTCCATCATATTATCCACGACGATGATGTCTTCCGGGGTGACTTTGCGCTGTTTTCCAAACACCTGAACCACAGCAAAGAGGCGTCCCAGCGTGTGCTCATCTTGGGCTACATTAGATATCTGTTCAGCAACATCTGAAGGTAGAATATTGAACCATACCATTTATGAAAATTGCATTATAGAGCTTCCAAGATGTTGTTGTTCTTGGGATTTAAAACCTGAAAGAGACAATGGGTAAATAATTCCATTCACTAAACAGAAAATGATCTTTGCATAATTTAGATGCTAAAAGATTAGAATTTAGACACAAATTCATGGATTTATGATTTAAATTCTTTCAAAATTATGAAGTTTTTTCACCATTTTAAGTATTTATCAAATGATTTATGGCTAAACTTATCAAATTTGAACCCCCCCCTCCCTGGGATTTTAACCACCCCCCCTCCCTGGGATTTTTACCCCCCCCCCTTTTGGCAAACGCTGACTACAGGTCAAGGGTTAAGAGGTTTACCTTTGGCATCTTGTGTTTCTGGGTCTTGTATTTTCGCAAGGTCTCTGTCCTTCGTTTTCAACCCATAACTGGATCTAGAAAAATTTAAACATTACTGTGAACTCATTATCACACTGATTAACTCCAGTGCACATTTACTCATTAAAGCATGGCTAAAAGTTCTCACTATATTGTTTCATTCAATAGACACAGAGTCACTGATGTTTTTTAAGAAATTGTGTGTTTTGTAAAGCAAACAAATACATGGGTGTACAAATTGATGAAAAATTGAAAAAATGATGAAAAAATTGACATTCAAAAATGGTGATGAGGTATAAAATAATTGTTCTGTTTGAGGACAAATTCAGACATTCTGTGATGCTCTTGTGTAAATTTGCAGTCAATAATCAAAACTACTGACCATTTCTTGATGAATCAAAATGGAGTATAGTATTTAGAACAAGGTAATCATTGATCTCCCCAGGATTTTTTCTCAGGTGGGTGCAAAATTCTCATTTTCACAATTCAGACCAAAATTGGTCAAAATATGCCAATTTTCATGATTTTTCTCATTTTTAAGTGGGTGCAAATGGATTTTCAGGTTGGTGCAAGCCTATTATCAAAATCTCAGGTGGGTGCTGTGCCCACTTGCTTTAATGCTGGAGAGATCACTGGTACTAATAATCTGTAGAGCATACCTATTACTCCTATTAGTGAATGCAGATGTATGTATTGTATTCTTATAAGGTAAAGTTCCATCACTAGGGACGTGGGTTGTCAATGGCGATAAAATGGAGAGACATCTGCTGGGAATCTGGTGAGATTCTGATGATGATAGCAACAATTTTGAACAAACTTGGGGTGCAACATCTGAAAATATAGATAAATTGAATGATTATTTTATGGTCTATTGTTAAACTTAAATTCAACATATAAACTTAGAAGTCCTACAATCATAATAAGTAAATCAATCGTTCTTGTCAGTGTGACATCATATGTATGCTAGTCTATATCCAATAGATTGAATTTCCTGAGAATTCAGTCTATTGATCATTATGTCCCTCCTGTGGGAAAAACAGGAAATTTCCTGCACACAATTATCAATTTTAAGAAACTTCACTTCCCCAAAATAAGCATTATAACAATTCAATTAAGTAGTAAGGTACAACTAAATGCTACAAGAAATAACACAGCATATTGTCAAATGGAAATAAAGCTAGGGGAAGTAAGAAATATGCAAATTAATTTACCCAATCAGCCATTTTGAATGGCACTTCCTATGTAAACAAATAATTTTCAATCCCAAGTTTTAATATATGTGGGCTATAGTCTGAATATTTTCATTCCAAATTTCAAAAAAAAATATCAGACTAAAGTGCTGATATATAATAATAAAGGGTTCGTTTTCAAACTTAACAGAGTGCTCCTACCAAAATGAATTTGCCTACATACCCCTGAGACTCTTATCTGATAGTGCACAAATAAAACAAAAGTTTTGCTATTATAGGTAAAAAGTTCTCTTGAAATTTCGAAGTGATTTTACCTGTTAATTCTGTCCATGGTCCGCCATTTTTGCGGAAGTTACACTGAAACGCAAACTCCATGAAACGAAAAGAAATCACTAGAAAAAACATGGCACATATTGTGTGCATGTGCAGCAAAGTTTAAACCAATCAGATTATTTGATTATTTTGCGCACATGAATTATTTGCTTCTGAGCACTTATAAGCTTACCACAATAAACAAACCTGACATAGACTACCCTTAGCCTACTTCATTTTGGCGATATTTAAGCTCAAACTCGTAGTGTTGTCGCGATGTGCCATAATCGTACATCGATGCATCGGCAATTTTCAGTTATAAACATCGATGCACATCGCGATGTACAGTACATCGAGAAAAAGTCCGAGAAAAGTGCACTGAAATACTGAACGCTAATGCACTAAAATACCGAACATCCTGTACATCTAGGAACTTCTAGTAATGGTGAAATGAAAGTAAAGTAATTTTTTTAGATTAATGGTTCATTTCGACTAGCTAAAAGAGTTTTAAAGCGAAAGAATATCAGAAAACATTGAAAAAATGAGATAAGACATGAGAAAGGTAAGCGATTTGCGTCAAAATAAGATAAGAAAGGATGATTTTAAGCAAATCATTTTTTTTAAAAACATCGATGTTTTGTTTCAGACATCGATGCATCGCCAGAATCAGCTTTGGCGATGTATATCGTGATGTATCGATTAATCGCGACAACACTACAAACTCATGACAAATGCATTATGCATACGCTGGTGTTTATCTCGTTCCAAGACTATCTCTACGTTCTAGTCTTGCGAATGTCTTATTCTTTTGCCTGTACGATTACAACATGGGATACGCTTCTTACACTTAAGATACCTATTTCAATAGATTCCTTGGTATTTTAGCATTCTTTTCATGTAGTTGAATCCACAATTGTGTGGGTTTATTGGCAGAACAAAGAAATTTTCGTTTTTGATCGCAAAATTTGCGTGTAATATTTAACTTATTTCAACCGTCGAATTCTTCCATTTATTGGTTATCCGACCCACTTCCGGGTCAGTCAAATGGGGAATCCCCTTTTAAATCCAACCGCCATCTTGGAAAGTGATGGAATATCTCTCGATGAAAAGGAAAAATGTTCCAATTCTGCCGATATACCCAAACAATTGTGGATTCGACTACACGAAAAGAATGCTAAAATACCCAGGAATCTATTGAAATAGGTATCTTAAGTGTAAAGGGCGTAGATAATTCTCCCAAGTTGTAATCGTACAGGCAAAAGAATAAGACGTTCGCAGGACTATAGTCCTGGCACGGGATAAGCTGGTGTGAAGCCTTGGAGACACTCATTTTGGTAAATATGATTTATGGTGTATAATTGTCTGCAGCTTGTGGGAGTTTGGGACATTAAATGTTAAAATTCAAGAAAATATGCCAATTAAACGACTTATCAATTAATATCCACCAGCACTGTAGAGGATATAGTCTAATATGTATGTATAAAGTTATGTTTCATATAATTATGCCATAACAACTATGCATGTGTCACCATGATTTACAAATGTTGAATATCAAGACGGCTGTAAACAATCACTCAAAGCCGGAATATAGAGAAGGCTTTGGACCGAAGTAATCCTGTACCGTCTCATCCCCAAATTTTTCTGGACCGTGACACCTCTCGTGCTTCAAAATTGATTGGATGGAATATTGACTTATGTACATAATGCTGATTAATTATCATGTCAATGAGTGGCAAGTAATGGAAAATAATTAGGGAGCTACCTCACTCCTTCTGGCACTTGCCTTGAAAAATTTTATGAAAAATAACTTTTTCAGGGCTGTAATTTTTTACTCCCATTCGTGTATATTATGCGGGTAATATAGTATCATAACGAAGTATGGTACTAGTGCTATCTGTTTAGTCACTTACCATTGCTAGGTATCCCTTTTGGACGAAACTGTAAGTGAAAATGTCTTGAAATATTTTGAAATGCACGAGCCATTTCCGGTGTGATGTAAGTAATTTCCGAACGACACTGCAAGTTCCAAACTTAGTCTATTCATAGTTCATTGTATATTTACAGTCTAATTAAAAAGACAATAGTAATACACAATGTTCAAAGAAACAAGCTATGTAGATTTCATTCATTGTTATGTAAGATTAGAGTTGAAAACACACAAGGTCTGTCTAATTTATGAACACAGAATATCATAAAAACACTACGTTTAGTAATTCATTGGGGTAATACTAAATACCACCTAGGTGTCCCGCACCTAGGTGCCCCCACCTGGGGACACCTAGGTGTCCCCTAGGGCACCTGGATTTTTAGACTACTGATTAACGATGTTTTAGTGAAGGATAATCTTTGAAACTTTACAGTAACTTAAATGGCTTTGTAAATATTCCGTTGGTTGATAAATTAATACGACTCTGACATTGTATAGCATGAAAAAAGTGTTAAAGAAGTGGGCTTCGACGAAAAAAAATAAAATGGCCGCCACTTGGGTTTACGAGTGGTCGTGTATGGTCGAAATACATAATGTTTAACGACGATATGCTTAATAAATTTGCTCAAAATACCGAAATATTATCCACAAAAGTCATGAACTAGTATTTTTGCGAAATTATGTCGCATAATGAGGTCAATCGACGGTCATAAAGACTCATAATATATCAACTTCTGATTTATAAATTTGTAGTCACATACTGTAGACTAGAGTCATTTCCGATTCGATTATGTCAGTCACTGTGTATATTACACTCTTATTCTGTATAGAAATAGCACATTTGTGTTGCGATTGTTCATTATAACACAGTAACACAAGCTTTCCAATTTTATGATCGTCTCAGCCAAGACCCATAGCACCAAATTGCATTTTGCCAATGGATACCAATACATGTATATCCACATGATATGAATAATCAGATAATGAGGCCTGAATGGTGACTATAATAATCATAGTTCAATATATATATATATATACTGTTAGAAAGACTACACACCATTTGTCCAAATCGCAATCGACTAAATCCCACTGGATTCAGATTTGGACCGATGGAATTTGGCCTCGGATGATTCGGATTGGATATGGGTTTCAGACAATTTGGATTTGGATGATTGGGATTCAGCAATTGCGATTCGGACGACTGGGATTTTGACCAATGGGATTCAGACCATTGGGATTCAGACTAATTTCAGACCTACCCTGTTTGAATTATGTCAACATAAGTGTTGCTAGTATCATCTATATCATAGGTGAGGCCAGAGATGAGGCATAGTACATTTATCTAAATAAAGTCCTTGCTATTATATTATATTAGATATATTATAGAGTTCACAAAATTGGACAATGCCACATCTTTTACTCACTTCAAATATAAAAAAACATCTGTTAGATTGAAATTGAAAAATCAGAGGTTGTGAGACTTTTGTGGTTTTATAACATGGGGCCTATGGGGAATCTCCCTGAACTAGAAATCACATTTTTCCCATAGATTAAATCCTCAAAGTTGATAAGCAATTTTCAAAACCATATTTCTAAAAGTGTTTTAACATGTAGATTTTAAGACTGAATTTTGACTGAATTATGAATATTTAATGACATAAATCAAAGTATTTCTACTCGCATCTAGTCTATTGTTCATCATTTATTAAGTATGGAGAATGGAGAAAATATTATAAATATTGGAAAACAAATCAGAACAACATAAACAGAGTGCATATATTTTAGGACACCCTGGATGTTAAAAACTGATCAAGTGCACTATAAGATGAAATTCACAGGGAGGGATTCAACAAAATTTTAAGTGGCATGCAGTGGTTTGTTGGCCGAAACCACCATTACTCCTTCCTAAAAACGATATTGACTCAAAATCTTTTTGTGTGTATAAATGAACTTTATTAGGACAACTTGTTTTCTACATTCCACGTGTATTTTTAAATGATAAAAAATAATGAAATAAAACAATGAATATTTAATATTTAAACAACATAGTTTCATGTACATAATAATTAGATGTTAAAGATTAAACCAGGCTTAGTAATTGTAATTGAAGGTCAAATCTATGGTCAGATTTGAACATTTGAGAACTTATAGATGATTTTGAAAAAAGAAATTGGCCAATTTGAAGCAAGTTGAAAAAATACCCTTTTTGATCTTTTTTGACTTGAGAGGGTCAGTCAAGGTCAAACATAAATGTAAAGTCAGATTTGAACTTCTGAAAACTTTTAGATGATTTTGAAAAAAATTGAAGTCGGTCTAAACAGTATTTGTTAAGTTATTGGAAGTTGTAAGAATTTGTTACAGATGCTGATTTCCAACCGTCAGCCACCAACCCCTGTCAAAAAATGGAGTATGTCACCACTTTTTGGTGGTGACATAACAAAGCTACAAGTCAATTATTTCACAAAGTAACAACATGATGCATCAATAGCAGTAGATCCTCTTTTTATAACTATAGATACCATAGTAGTTCAAGTTTGAAATTATGCAAACTTCAAGCTTAGCTCTACAGTTCATTACAGGGACTAATGATTGTCATTCTCCCTAATCGCAGACAGAGTCAGTCATAATTGCTGATACAGTCAGCTTGAAGTATATGATCCATAATGCACTATATAACTCAGGATGTAGTTTGAACTACATGTATATACATGTAATCCTCAATGCAGAATACAATCCATGACGTAGTACATTCATAATAATCTCTGTTGTAATCCAGACTTTAACTCATTATTGATAAAGTAGTTCACTTCATATATTAACAATCCGAGTGGTTATGGTTGATCAGATGCAGCTAGATTCTCACTAAGTTTTATCTGCAGATCAAGGTACAACTGTTTCTACATCAGACCGTCCACACTTGGAATAAGGACTATGAGAGATGGCAACAGGGTATTGCTGGTGGTAGTCATAGTTGGTTGTATATATCTCATACACCCTGTGCCAAGGCCAGATGGAGCAAGATGTTACGGCAGCATTAAAGTGGAGAACAGTTTACCTGCGACCTTCTCATAACCCTGTATCCTGCAATTACAGTATCAAGACACAAATTATGTGTTATTCCAAACATATCAAGTTTTTTTTACATGGGATACCCTTTTATCTCCCTATGCAATGATTACTAAGAAAGTTCATTTTTTACTGTCATTTGAAAATAATTCCCTATTAGAAATCTTATGTATGACTTATAAAGTTAAAGTTTTAATTATTGTAGTCATCTAAAAATTCATATGCCCAATGGTATATATTGATATTGTAAAATGTATACTTCTTTAAAATAGTTAATCTCTTTCTCTAGTTGAAGAAGATTAGAATTTGATAACAGAGGCATTATACAACAGCATTTGTAAACAAGTCAAGGCATTGTTTTGAGAACTATCATTGAAGAAAATATTTTATAATCCTTAGTCCTTTGAGATATTTAAAGGGTAATATGCAACATGTAAATGCAAACAATTAAGTCAAAGCATTGTTTATAAATGCTATAATGTAAGAATGTATTGTATAATCATAAGTTCTTTGAAAATTTTAATCTCTTTCTTTTTGTCAAGATGAAATAGATTTTGCTTTGATTGGATTCTTTACTGGGAAAAAGGAAAATCAAAGTTGAAAAATGTTGTTGTATTACAAGGAAAGAACATTAGAATGTCAAAAATAAAGCCAGCGAATGGTTTTGGGTTAGAGCCGTTTTTTCAGTTTTGAACATTTTACATTGAGATCAGATCCCTAAAATTGATTTTTTCTAAGTTACATCTTCTAAATTGAATATTGTTTTTGATATTCTTTATATAATACTTTTCTTTACTAGGAAAAGGAAAATCAAAGTTGAAAAAATGAATTTTTTATTTTTGTTATATTTCACTCCAACTGCATTAGCATTCTATAGGCTACAGAGGCTCACCAAACCATCAAATGCAAATAACCGTAAAATGTTGAAATCATGAAATAATTTAGTGATTTTTTTTCAAATGAGTGCGCCATGTTGTATATTACAAGGAAAGAACATTAGAAAGTCAAAAATAAAGCCAGTGAATGATTTTGGGTAAGAGCCATTTTTTCAGTTTTGAATATTTTACATTAAGAGTTCAGTAGGACCAATCCCTAAAACTGCTTTTCTCTTAGTTACATCTTCCAAATTGAATATTATTTTTGAAATTATCTTTATAATACATTTCTTAACCAAGAAAAGGGAATATATAAGTTGAATTAAAAATGAATTTTTTATTTTTGTTATATTTCACTCCAACTGCATTAGCATTCTATAGGCTACAGAGGCTCACCAAACCATCAAACGCAAATAACCGTAAAATGTTGAAATCATGAAATAATTTAGTGATTTTTTTCAAAAGAGTGCGCCATGTTGTATATTACAAGAAAAGAACATTAGAAAGTCAAAAATAAAGCCAGTCAATGATTTTGGCTAAGAGCCGTTTTTTCAGTTTTGATTATTTTACATTGAGTTCCGTAGGACCGATCCCTAAAATTGATTTTCTCTTAGTTACATCTTCCAAATTGAATATTGTTTTTGAAATTATCTTTATAATACTGTACATTTCTTTACCAGGAAAAAGGAAAATCAAAGTTGAAAAATGAATTTTTTATTTTTGTTATATTTCACTCCAACTGCACTAAAGCATTCTATAGGCTATAGAGGCTCACCAAACCATCAAACGCAAATAACCATAAAATGTTGAAATCATGGAATAATTTAGTGATTTTTTTCTAAAGAGTGGGCCACCTTGTATATTACAAGGAAAGAACATTAGAATGTCCAAAATAAAGCCAGTGAATGATTTTGGGTAAGAGGCATTTTTTCTGTTTTGAACATTTTACATTGAGTTCAGTAGGACTGATCTCTAAAATTGATTTTATTTAAGTTACATCTTTCAAATTGAATATTGTTTTTGAAATTCTTTTTATATTACCTTTCTTTACCAGGAAAAAAAGAAATTAAAGTTGAAAAATGATTTTCTTTGTTTTTGTTAACTTGCTTAAGCTTGATGACATCACAATATTATATTATATCCTACCTCTAGTTATTTTTGAGACTATTGTTGCCTGGTTTAAATGAGTCAGCACAAACCACTGTTCATCTTTCTTGTTTTGTGTTGTGGTGTCCAAAACATTGAATTGCTCTTCTGGCTGAAATAACAGAAAAATCAACATATCTGTTTGAAAGGGTTTTGACCACTGGGTTATACTTTGACAATTATAGTAATGATACTTTTAAGTGCATTCTCACAAATTATCATTATACATATTATGTTATATTATTACAAAATAGCTACATGTTATACACAATGACACCATGAGGCATATATCAGGATTTACAAGAGCAAAATCCAATCAGACTATAAACTTAATGAAATATTGAGGAATCTGTTCAATCAAATGAAATCCAGTATTAGAACAATTTACATAGATACTAGAAATTTCTTCTTTTAGGTTATGCCTGGAACTAGTAACAATAATTATTTGAACATTAATATCAAACCTGATGACGATTCTAGTCTTGGGGAAAGCTTGGGTGGATGGAGGCAAGCTAACACTTTCACACAGCCTTTTACTATTTCAGCATCATTTGGATCGGACTTTGTACAGCACTTTGATGGCGAGTTGTAATGCTGAAAGTGAACATTGAATGATAAGGATACACAAATACTGAATTATTAAAAAAAATGATGACTTAGAGAATGTAGATCTTATCAAGGCACTCATGAATGGACAATCTTGACTTGGAAGTGGTCGTATCTTGGTACAGTAGCAAAATGATATATAACAATATTTGAGCTTTAAAGCACTCTCATAACTGAGATGTTGAGATCGCAGGTGACACACATGTGTATTACGTTGAACTACCCTTTGCATTCGTTTGACTTCACTTCTGAAAAGAAAGCTTCATCTTCACTCTTTCATTTTACCGATTTTGTACCTTGCAACGAATGGCAAGCAAACAAATTGGGCATGACCGTCTCCTCTCAATTAATTGTCCTGCCTTAGGTCCTAACCTATCATTAACCAATCTATCGTTTCTACGGGAATCTATCCTAATTTTTTACTGAAATTTAACAATTTCGAAACAAAAATGATTTGTTATCGTCATAGCCTACTGAATACTGAACACGATATTACATGCGTTCTCTTATCGGGATTAAAAGTGACTTGCCATTTCAGTACACCATTAGAAAGTTTTTTTTGTCATATCAAATGTAGTTTTTACCAGTTGACGTTTGACAACTGAGAAATCAAACATAACGTTACGACGTCAACATCGACGATGTTTGTGTGTTTTTGTTATTGCGTTTCATATGAACGAACTTAATGCAATGTTACGTGCGTTTTTTTCCAAAGTGACTAAACAGGATGAAATTGGTCTTCTAACTAATCACGACCTAGTAAAGGTACTATAGTCATTGGATTCCCAGTTTTAGTTTTACTTCTAAATGTAATTTTGCATTTTTTCATCTTTATGAAAAAGACCGTCAGCCGACCACCGACCACATGTACCCAACTGTGGAGAGTGACTGGTTGGTGGTCGGCGGTCGGTGTTTTTCGTAAACCCGAAATTATTTATTACCCGGGCTGTCACAGGCACCAATCTTCGGGGCGGGGTTGCTAAACTGAAGTATACATGTAGTCTATACTAGCTGAGACTAACATTTATGTTAGTCTCAGATACTAGGCAGAGTGTAGTTTATAACTACACTCTGCGCGCAGGGTAACGTTGAACTGACTTGACAGCAGGATCTCTGACTTACATGTACACTGGCTGCCTAGTCTATATCCAATATCAGACTAGAGGATACAGTATTAGTCTAACTGACCAGGAACTGATATCTGGCTTTTGATAGAGAAAATCTGTAGGATAGGGTCCTGGGTCATCTTTGACAAGACAGTTGAATTTTTAGACTTGTTGTAAACATCTCATATAAATGATATAACGATGAACACATACAACAACTTTTGGTTTTGTTATTACAAAGACCAGTGTTGGAAATGCTGATAAAAAGTTGAGAAATTTTTATTTTCCGAAAGCAACATGGCGTCAGAAAAAAATCTCGAAAAAAATACTTTTTTCTCTCTAAAATGTCACAAAACTACTTTTATTCTTACCTCATCAAGTAAAGTACAACTCCATTCATACTCTAGTACTATTATTTGACTTATATCAAAGTCTAATCAACCAATATCCAAGCCCCACGCCGCCACCTGAAAAGGGACACCTGGAAAGGGGCACCTAGGTGTTAGACTATATCCTATTTAGTCTGAATTATATTCAGACTATAAGGCACCTATGTTAAAGTTTGGCAATTCTAAATATTTGTTTACATAGGAAGTGCTATTCAAAATGGCCGATTGGGTAAAATTCATTTGCACATTTGTTACTTCAGCTAGCTTTATTTCCACTTGACAATATGCTGTGTTACTTTTTATTGCTTTTAATTGTACCTTACTATTTAATTAAAATTTTGTAATGTTTATTTCATCGAAGAAATGATTCCTCTAATTGATAATTTTGTGCAAAAAATTTCACTGCAATTTCCACAGGAAAGTAGTACATCATAACAGACTGACTCCTAGTCAGTCTGTTGGATACATACTAACCTAGGTGTGGGACACCTAGGTGGTATTTAGTAACACCCATTCATTGGATTTATATTTCGTTCAGTGCACTGATTACCCGGATGTTCGCGGTAAATTAAAGATGGCTGACGTTTTTGCAAAGTTCGTATCCCAGAAAATCAGCAAAATAAGATGGTGTCCGGCATCTGACCATTCTTTACAACGTTCTGATGTGTTTGCCACAGGTAGCTGGGATAACAAAGTAAGTGGATTTTCCTGGTATTCAACCATTATCGAGTAAACTAATGTACAATTTGAGTGGCCTGCTTGACTGATTTTTTTGTACACACTGCACAGTGACAGTAGGGACCACAGAGGTTGAGGCTTATTTTCAGCTCGTATCTGTTCACATGTTAAATTATGAAACTTTACAATTTATTTTACAATAAACTATTGCACCCAATTTCATGAAATTGGTCTCAAATTAATAATTAGAGTCCATTTCACTGCTTCAGTTCGTCAATAGAACGGCAAAAATAAGAAATTGGGAGACCATTGTGCAATAATATATGGAAAAGTATATTCATAATGTACATGAATGACATTTGTATATCTTGGATTGCTTCTAGTTTGGCTTATAAAGTGTGTGGCCTCTTATATTTGGATGTTTCTCTGCCATGTTATTTTCAATAAGATTAACATGGCTGAAATTCTTCAAATTACAAGACGGCACAGGCTTATTGCACAAAAAACTAAAAAATCTGAAATATACAAATGTCATTCATGTACATTATGAATATACTTTTCCATATATTATTGCACAATGGTCTCCCAATTTCTTATTTTTGCCGTTCTACTGATGAACTGAAGCAGTGAAATGGACTCTAATCAAAGATTTACCATTGGGTATTTAATATGTAGCGTAACCTGTCTTGTGCTGATTGTTATGAAGCAAAATATAAGAGAGGTGAAACCATTTTCGCCGCCATTTTCGAAAATTTTTGTTGACATTGGCAATTCACCCAAGTTTTGATGACCGTTTTTTGAATAATAATGGGACAGATAATTACTCTCAATACATCGAAATGAAGTAATAACATGTGAAATATTTCATTTTTTTACAATTTTGCCCAAATAAACGCTTATAATTATTCGAAATTGAGTTTGAAGTGGAGCATATTTTTGACTGAACTATCGCACATTGTTTGACTCCCGTTCAAACACCGTTCAAAAGCTCAATCGCAAGAAAAATCACCTTTCTTTCAAAATTACAAAAAATAAATACAAAAATCAAGTGCACCCAAATGCACCAACGATTTAAAAAAATTCAAGCTACTTCCGCCATATTGTTTTGGTTCTACTTCCGCCATTTTGTCATGTTCAAGATCAGTCACTCAGTCAGTCTTTTGGCCATGATTTATGCAAGTCTGTCAGCATATTTGGTTTAATATATATGCTACCTACCTTTATAAATTTATCTTAAGGTCAGACTGTATCACATTTATTTGATCAGGAAAGCAGAAGAAAGTAATAATTTTTTTGCAAAAACGTGACTTCCGGAAGTGGGCGATAATAGGGTCAAATTCACTTCAGCCTATTTGAACTACCCTTGAACTTAATTGTTTAATAACGTTTGTTAGTCTTATCATATATCACTTAAATGATAATATAAGAAACTAAATATGATTCAAATTCCTTATTTTGCATGATGTTGTGGATTAATCCAAAATTAGAACTTTTGGGAAGTTAAAGAGGCATAATCTGATTTTCTTAAAGAGGTACATTATGCTTCTGCTTGAAGAAATACTTACCAGCTGCACATCTATTTCTAATTGATTGGAGTGACTCACAATTATAATTGAGATTGATAACCATCATTTAAAGGCACACATTGGCCTTTACATTTGTATTTATTCAAGATATAAAAGAGGCAAAAATAATCACATCGCTCTTGCTACTCATCAAAAAGGCAACATTTAATCAAAAGGTGTTTCAATGTTTGAGAATTAAATTTTTGCATCAGCAATATTTTGAGCCATTTACTTGACTTAAACTTTTTGAAAATACAGAATTTTCATAAAGAGGCACATCTAAATTAGACTTCTTATTGATCATGCTACTCATTTCTACAAGCATTCCTACTTGTCTTGAACAGCACATGATGATTATTAGATAATTGTTTATTACTAAGGAGGCACAAGTTGATCTCTATATTTGCAGGTATTATTTGGGAGGCAAATTCTGAGAGCCAAATAATACTTAGTAGTAGTCTCATTGCTCTTGCTGCCCATCAAAAAGATCTTAAGGTAACTTGTTATGTTAGAGAGGAACAAGATAAGTCATACCTAAATCATGATACCTAAATTATAAATGTCGAAATAAATAGCCTTCGTACTTCTTGATTTATTTATTCATGCTGCTTAACTTACATGTAAATAAAGAGGCAAAGTCTGAGTTTTGCATCAAGATAAAAATATTCCTCACACCATCTTAGCTGTAGAATATGATTTTGAATGAATTGATCAATATACTTGACTAAACAGAATTTTAAAATATTTATTATGTATAACCAAAATATACCTTATTTTTTGTTTTAGTCATAAAAACTGAACCAGTCATGCTATCTGCTTGTAGTTTCCAGAATATTTATATCTTTTTAGTCTTCTTTAAGGTAAAAAAGATTTGACAACTATCAGTGACAACATATAATAACATACTGTGTCATATGACAATTATAACATATACTTTTTGACATTTTTTAAAGTTTTTTTCATCTTTAGACCCCTATAACTTTTTAATCATTCAACCTATCAATTTGAAAATGATTTCATTGCCTTTCTTAGCCAATTTTACACATATAAGTAGATTTTTCAGATTTTTTGCTGCATATTTTAAAAGATATTTGTGGTCCCAACCCTGATACACTTGAAATGAAAACTTCAAACAAATACTTTTTTTATGATAAAAAAAACACATTTTGTTGTTTTTGTTATAAAAATTGAACCAATCATGCTATTTACATTTGGTTTTCAGATTAATAATACCTTTTTTGTATACTTTGAGAACATTAAAAAATATGACACCCATCAGTGACTCGGAATATGACATCCCATGTCATGTGACACACACTTTTTGACAAAACTTTTTTTTCGATTTTCCATCTTTAGACCCCTATAACTTGTTAATTGTTCAAGCTACAACTTTGGGAATGGTTTCATTGATTTTCTCAGCCAATTTTACATTTATATGGATTTTTTCAGATTTTTTGACGCATTTTTTAAAAAACCTCCGTGGTCCCTAGTGACAGTAGAGTTTCCCATAGATGGCCATTATAACATTTTACCCTGTATCTTATTAACGACTAGTATCCAAGCCTAGTGCAACATACCACAGTGTTCGCCTAACCTGCTATACATGTAACAATCTTACCACGGGTTGTCCACCGAATTTTTGAGATAAATAAACTTGAAGACACTAAGTTTAACCCCCTCTATGGTCAGATTTCTCAGAGAATTCTGGTAAAATCACCAAGGTCAAAATCACTCCGCCGCCAGCTTAAAATGAGATTTCCCACTGAACTTTGACATGTTTTCAGATAAATCAGGACCTACCTTATAAATATTTAGTCCCAATTCACTTCCCATACGCCAGATGGCGCTCCAATGGGGTAGGAAAGGAGAAAAATGACTTTTTATACAGAAAACCAAATCACAAACGGTAACCGCTAGTGTCCTTACTCAGGACTATATCCTTACTCTGTACTAAAGATAAAACACAAATTCTAGTGAGAAGTTCATATGGTTAAAATAACGAAATAATGAAATGTTACCATGTGTCTACTTAGCAGTTTGTTCTATGTCATCCCTCCTGCTAGGTTACATTGTGGAATTCAGCCAAACACGACACTGAAGGCAGTATTCTGAAGTTATAAAATCTAAATCTAAAAAATTTCCCATTTGCAGCCCCTTTGAGATTTCTGGAATTGAACAAAAAAGTGAACGTTGCAATCTTCTAACTTTAGTTCGTTGTTTTTTACCACTTTATGTATAGTATTTTCATTTAGGAGGCGATCTTTTTTGAATGCATCATTTCAGGTCTTTATGAATCAATACATCAATAAGCAGACTAAAAATACAATTTAGCAGTTTCTTTCGTTGCGTACTGGGCCTGTTAGGCACGAAATACAATTTAGCAGTTTCGTTCATTGGGTATTTTAGTTACATGATCGATACAGTAACTAGTTACATGATCAGACACGTGTCACATGATCAGTCACGTGAGCTTGCAAAATTGATGATTTCAATTTCCAAAACTTCTTCTAAGATCAAGATCGATATGTTGTTGCCTTCAGTGTCGTGTTTGGCTGCGTTCCACAATGTAACCTAGCAGGATGGATGACATAGAACAAACTGCTAAGTAGACACATGGTAACATTTCATTATTTTGTTATTTTAACCATATGAGCTTCTCACTAGAATTTGTGTTTTATCTTTAGAGTTATGATACTCGAACCAAAGTCAGCACTATCAATGGTATATTCTACTTTAGTTAATAAGTAGAGCTTGCATCGAATAGGATTTTAATGTTGACATGTCGGAGCTCTCGATCGACAACGATATCGACATTGTCAGGTCCAATGATATTCGAAAAATGAAAAAAATTTTGAAGAAAATCCGTCTGAATTTTAGATTTTCTAGGCTTGTAATTAGCAATACGATGCACAATAGTCATCCTCAGTTGTATGTTTTATATTTAACTTACAGGTAAACCATGTTCAAGTATCAGACTTTGACGAAAAAGCAATAAATAGACATAAAACTATGATTTCTGTTGTTATTTCCGGGCAGCCATTGAAAATAAATCTCGAGGGTAAATCTCGAGGGGCCCCGAGACCTAATTCGAGAGCAGTAAGTCGATCAAAACAAAAAAGAAAATTTGAAAATGTAGGCGGTAAAACTTCACTAAAATACACCATACAGCAGGTAGTAACAAAGATTTTAATTCATAGGGAAATAGCTTATTATGTTGTGAGTTCCGACTGTCGATCAAGAGGCGTTGTGTCGACATGGGTGTCGCAGAGAGCATTCGACTGACAATCGACCATTCCGACATTTGATGCCAACTCTATTAATAAGAGAAGTCCGAAAACTAAATGTCAGAATATTTACCTAAAGTGTTTATATTTCCATTTACCCTTCAAACTGTGACATTTATGTTACATACCAATATGATTAAAAAAGTTACTTACATACCAAATTAAGAGTGATTTCCAGGTCAAACTTGTAAAAATTGGTCCAAATCACTTGATCCATCCACTCCCTCCAATACGCAAGCACGCTCTGATGTAAAACACATCTGATTGGTTGTTGGTGTCAACAGTGGAGTCGGGGCAATCTGTGCGAGGTTCGGTTTTTACTTTGTTCGGTTTTTCATTAAGGGAAGTACTTCATTCCCATGATTCAAAGTGCTTTTCTACCATTTGTTCTGTTTAAGTTTGTAGAACAAACGTCCACGAATCTGGGGCAGGTTGACATTATATCATTAGATTTGTTTTAGGTGTATACTTGTTTTGACACTTAACAAAAATGTTTCTGCAATATATGGTGCATTATGAAATAATGAACGTAAGTGACGTCTAATATTCTCAAATTAAATGTTCATATAAAGTTATTGATTGCGCATGCGTCATGATAACTTGAACCAATCAGATCACTGGGTTTGATGCGCGTGCGCCATAAACCGAACCAAAAAATGGAATCTTGCACAGATTGCAAACGAAATTCAGCGAGAGGACGCAATTGAGAAACATTTTGTGAAGAATGATCACATTTTAACTGTTTTCTATTATCTCCTCATAATTTGAGGTATGGACTTTTGTTTTTATGAACATTTGGTATCTTTTGGACCTCCGTCACTAAAAATGATAGAGAAACACTTGTGTGGAAACGTCGAAATCTTAGTTTGAAAAGTAGGGTATCTGTAAATTTTTACCAAAATGGCAAAGAGTAATTGGACTTTCATTTTCATTTAGATAGACTATATCTTATTTTATGAGATAGTGCTGACTGTGTCTCGAACCCGATGAACTTAAATATTAAACAAACTTCATGTCATCCTTTTCAGAAGAATCACATTTCCCTGTGGCAAGTAAACAGAGAAGAATCAGAAACAGCACTTGAGCCACAGCCTGTTTCTGACATTGAACACAATGGAGATGTCACAGATCTAGCGGTAAGGAATACCATTTCTAATATTTTGATTCGCTTCTATAAAAGATTGAAATCACAGTCTGCTATAGATTTTTTATTCCCGACCAGTTCTTGCTTATTTCAAAAGATGGCACACGCTGTTTTTTTTAGTCACATATTTCAGGAAATTAAAGCTGGTGAGTTTACATATGTTGTCCGTTTACTTTGATGAAACAATACAGTACCCCTAGTATGAATGTAGAATGTATATAATTTGAATAATCCATTTGAATAATCGCATTTATCGTATGATCTGTAAAATGAAGCCTTCTGATTGGTCAGTTCTTGTGCTGTACCAATCTGTATTGCTAATGAGATTGTCCCCATTGATCATCTCTGTCGCAATACAGAAAATATTGGTACGGAGGGGACAATCTCTATAGCAATACAGAGGATCACACAATAAAAACGTTTTGTCGAGTGCCAATACAGAATTTCTCGAGCAGAATATATCCTGTATTGCACTTCAAATCATTCAATAACTTATAGTACTGTCTATTTATAGTATGTCAATGGGCAGAATTTGGTCAGTGCATCATCACGTGGAACAATAACCTGCTACAGACAAGGCCAAAACAAGGTGAGTACTATGTTTATTTTATAGGAGGTTTTAGATATGGAGTTTATCCTAATAGGCCTACATGTTCCCAAGTAAGGAACTGTTTTGGGTATTTGGTATAGAGGTATTATGATACACGATTTTTTGGCATGCCCTAGTTTAAAGACTGATATTAAAGAGATGTTAACTTCTCTTGATTGACAGAAATCTTCACCATCTGTTTTGCCAAAATATAATCTCTCATACTGGAAACATATACACCTATTCTATATTATTCCAATTTTATTTTAATATTTAGGGAACTTTTATATGGTTTAATGAAGTTATACATGTAATGTGTTATTTGAAGATGCATAGTTTTATTTCCACCTAAATTTTAATTCAAGATGAATGTTAGTAAATATTCTATAGCAAGGCTAGGATAAACATTATCTATGGTTTTCTTTGATTCTCATCTTTATCTATGGATATCACCAATCTCTACTTCAATCTGAGAAAAATCTTAACATCTGTTTTATTGATGAAAAGTGTTATTTTTCAATCACATTGGCTTGGGAGCACATAAAATCGGGTAGATTAATCCGCAGCGTGCAATAATTTTCAAAAAAATATTTCCTGTCCCTACATAGGGTTTTCTCATCAGAGCATTGAAAATGAAGTTTGTTATCCTCCATTAATGTTTTGAATGACCAGATTTTAGAAACAGCTTCTAGTGGCAGGTTACACCAAAATGTGTTATCCTCCGTGTATTCTTCTCCAAACCGTTCAAGCTTACACACCTTTTGGCAAATTATATCATCAATTTCACTTTGTCCTATATCAGTGAATTTAACAATACAGCATGCCTCGTTTGGGTTAATAATGCGATCTCTGTCTCGTATATTCATCCCATCGTTGTAAGTAAATCCTATTGCGCAGTGACTACTTCTAAGCGAGGTTGACATCAGGAATTTGAATAGACCCGTATTATGGTGCCCATTGTAGTCGTCGTACAAATTTGCTCCGGGCGGAGGTGGTAATTCGGAGATAACTATTGAAGCTTGGACGAGGATACATAGCGAATAGAAGAGTAGCAACGTCATTGTACTTTTCTGAAATAGAAAATAAAACTTCATTCAGTTTTTATGTCACCAAGACAAGTGGATAAATGATGATGATTATGAATTTTCATAAAAATTATCCTGACTATTCAGCATACCATAGCATAGTGTGGGGCCATATTGTCGGCCTAGGCGCGTCCGTCCGTCTGTCTGTCCGTCTGTCTGTCCGTCTGTCTGTCCGTACGTCCGGCAGTTTTCTCCAAAACCGCTACAGATATCACCTTCAAATTTTCAGGGATAACTTATGAGTGCATACAGATGTGGATGAAAAAAAATTAACTCGATACCTACTTCCTGTCGGCCATTTTGAAGTCAAATGCTAAAATCCTTGTCTGCAAACTTTAAGAAAAACTGCTTCACAGTTGCTTTTAAAACTTTAACATCTTGTTCAACTCACTTTATTCTAGATTTGATTAGGTTTTGGACCTGCTAGCTCAGTCATGTCAGCCATTTTGAATGTCTTAAGAAAAGTTAGCGCGCGATAATACTTTGTATCATATTGAATGGTGTTTTTGAGTTTTCATACTTTAACTATTTAGTAGCTTTATAAATAATTTCAGATGTACTTTGCTGTAAAAGCCTACTTTATTGTTAACAGTAGTTATATGTGATAATTTTGTAAAAAGAAATCAGCAAAAACTCATAAGGACTTTTTTATTGTCGGCCATTTTGGATTTTTCGGTCCTAAAATCTTGTCTGTGAAGTCTTGTCTGCGCGTTTTCAGGTGAACCGTTTGGTGGATCAATTTTAAATTTTCAGGGATGATTCTTAGTATAAAAATCTAGATCTCATTAGTTTTTTGGCATTCTGGGTAAATGTCAAGGCAGCCATTTTGGATTTTCCGTCCTAAAATCTTGCCTGTAAAGTCTTGTCTACGCGTTTTTAGGAGAACGGTTTGATAGATCAATTTCAAATTTTCAGGGATGATTCTTTGTACGAAAATCTACATCTGATTACTTTTTTTGCATTCTGCGTAAATGTTAAGGCAGCCATTTTGGATTTTCTGTCCTAAAATCTTGTCTGTAAAGTCTTGTCTACCCGTTTTCAGGTGAACCGTTTGGTAGATCAATTTCATATTTTCAGGGATGATTCTTAGTATGAAAATCTACAAACAGATTAGTTTTTTGACATTCTGGGTAAATGTCAAGGCAGCCATTTTGGATTTTCCATCCTGAAATCTTGTCTGTAAAGTCTTGTTTACATGTTTTCTGGTTAACTGTGTGACGGATCAATTTCAAATTTTCAGGGGTGGTTCTTAGTATGAAAATCTAGAACTGACTAAATTTTTGGCATTCTGGGTAAATGTTAAGGTGGCCACTTTGGATTTTCCGTCCTCAAATTGTGTTGGTAAAGTCTTGTCTACTCATTTTCAGGATAACCATTTCACGGGATCACCACTTGGTGGGGACATTTTGTACACATTTGTGTTCTTGTTTTTATTATAAAATCAGCTTGTATTTGGTTTGATTTGATTTACAGGGAACATGGCAAGTCTTCGTAATTAATTCCTTATCTTCGTGAACTTCATTTTCTGTTTGACAATATTGGCTGTTATTAATGACTAAAAGATATTGTCTGAATACACAATCAACATTAACATTAACATTGAAATTGAGTTGGTATATTATGAAAATTCTTAGTTCATTACAATCAAGCCAGTGAAAATTCTTCAACATGTAGTGTTTCGGTCAAAATTTGATTCCAGTATCATGTTCTAATCTGGCTTAAAATTCATGTGGTAATCAAAATTGACCTTTTGACCTTTAACCTACAAACTTGACCTCTACTATAGATGTTGACCATTCATAAGTTTAGAATTCAAGGTCAAACGTCGAAATGTCTTACCTGGCGAACAGATTCCGCAATCAGCTTACAGCTTTCCACGAAATGACTATCTGTGAAGGCTGTTACTATACTGCGTGCTTAGTCAATCATTTGAATGAAAAATTCAGTAGTAGGAAAGATTAGAATATAGAGTTATACATGCCATTAATAAGAAATTACTTACCCGTGACATGTGGCTTATTGTTCAACTTAAAAAATGAATGCATATTATTATTCCACATTGATTAATGATAATGGTTTGTGACTAACTGCTCTTTATAAGGGAATGATTCAAAAAATTAATATTCATAGAAGCATGAATTAAACTGAGTTTCAGTGGAAGTAGTTGAAATTCTGTTGTAAAATCAGTTGAGATAATATAATAATTTTTCCCATATTGTAATTTTATAAGATATTATTAATATTGCAAGGGCTTGTTTTTGTTTACAAGAACAAGTTAACACATCAAAATAAATATTTGAGGGTAAACAAAACAAGGTATAGATATTGATTTAAAAGTGCTCATGAATAACTTTTTCTGTGATATTTTGAAGTGGTTAAGCCAAGAAGAAAGTTATATAATTGTTCATTTATATGTAATCACCAGAAGATACGTGACATATTGTTATAGTCTCAAACTTTTTTATGGATAGTGTTTGGCAGTTGGTGTTTTGTGGTTGACGTTTGGCAGTTTGCATCTGTAACAAATGGCAGGGGGTGATATTTTCCATGTTAATGTCTTGTTTCTTTCACTGGGTTAGAAAGTCCTCTGTACTGTTGTCTGTCTGTCATAAATCAAAATTCATCCTTCTACTGACTTTAATTTTAAATCTGAACCGATTAGTTTTCTAGAAAACAAAGGCAGTGATCTAACCAAAAATTGTACCCCTCACAATTTAGAAGCATGTAAAAGAGGTTTATCTCAATTTGTCATAGGCCTGTTACCCCAAAACTTTTCTTCCACTCTCTTCACTATTGATACTTTGGAGATCATGATCGTCATTTTAATAGAATGAATAAGTTATTTGAAATGATGAATATTCAGTGAATTGTACCTTCAATAATTCTTTCTACTAAATTTTGAATTGAAATAAAGTGATAACATATTGTAAAAAACATTTTTGTGACTCTTGAATAGCAGGCCCATAGCCAGGGGGTTTCGGGGGGTTCAGGGGGGGGGGGGGGTTCAGGCCAAAATTTCTTTCAAAATCAGGCAGTTTTTCACCATTCTGACTATTTTTTGAGTGATTCTTGGCCAAATTTGCCAAAGTGAACCCCTCTAGAATTTTTTGGGAAAAGTGAATCCCCCTTGGAAAATTCTGGCTACAGGCCTGAATAGTGTTGACATTTGGGATTTCTGTACCTGTAGCAAATGGTTACAGTTACTATGAAACATGTTCAATCTGTGTGCATCTTTAATTAAGAAATATAGACTAAGAGCAGGTGTAATATCATCGAATACACCCAGCAGGTCTAGGCACAAACGTTTTCTGGTTCGAAAGCTTTTGTGCCTAGCACTATAAAGGGGTGTATTTGATGATATTACACCTGCTCTGAGGTCCATATTACGATTCGAACATGAAAACTCACCAAAATGTTCCAAATATTCATTATGGTCCGCCTTTACGACATCACACATTACTCATATTACCAGGGGTTTTGTTCACGAATATAACCCGGGTGAAATATTGACAGTTAGAGAAGGCTTGAATACTGTCATGTTCGATTTCACGTTAATTTGCATCTAGTACAAAATGCAAGTTTACCATGTAGTCGAAATAAGATTTTGTAACAAATGGTTACAGTTTCTTTTGTGATTCCAACCAAGTGCTGTCATATTATGTCATACTAATGACTTGTTCTTTATACATATAACAGTTGAAGGTAAAACATTAACTGACATTTTTATTGTTGAACTTCAACAATCCTGTCTGTAAATGTAATTTGTCAGAGCACTTAACAACTCAGTATTCCGGGTATTTTATTTCATTTACTGTATCCAATTTTCCCATTCTGCTGAATACAGATAGAATTTGCCTTAAATGGTTCAGAGATCTGCAGAATCTTGGAATTGACCATTTCGGGGGAATATGAGGAATATAATAATCAACATTTCATTTTTGGTTCGGGGAATTTTGTTTTTGGTAGGAGTTCACTCAAAAAAGCCCCAGAAATTTTCAGTTCATTTTTTTATGTCACCACCAAAAAGTGGTGAAATATTGTTTGGTTTCCGTTTTCTATCATGATGGTTGGCAGTCGGCAGGTGGCAGTTGGTGGTTGGCGTCTGTATCAAATTCTGTAACAACTTCCAATACCTAAACAAATACAGTTTAGACTGACTTCAATTTTTTTCTAAATCATCTACAAGTTCTCAGAAGTTCAAATCTGACTCTCGTTTTGAGATTTGACCTTCAATGACCTTCTCAAGGTCAAAGAGGTCCTTTTTCAACTTGCTACTAATTGACCAAATTTATTTTTCAAATCATCTACAAGTTGTCAATTCAAATCCAGTTCAAATCTGAAACAAATACAGATTGTTTGATCCGGATTCTTATGGTGAGACATGGGCCAAAAGTATACCATAATTGTGATCTTTTTTAAGAGATTTTCTTATCCCAAGAATTTTTTTTCAAAATATGCCTCAGTTCATCTTAAAAAAAGCAAAAAATGCGTCGAGACATTTTGAAGAAATCTCCTATTCTCATATTGTTCCTTTAAATATGAATTAAAACAAGAATATGATGAATCTTTCTGTTTTCAAGTCTACTAATAGAACATAATTTCTGAAAACAAATATTTAAAAAGTGATGTTTACCTGTCATGAGAATGATGTCTCTTTGTTGACTTTTCTGCTGAGTAAGATAGAATTATGATTGTGCTAAAACAAGACCTATTTGATTCAGTCGTGTCATAGTATCCTGTATGTTATCTATTGCATTTAGTGGCCTTGGTAGCTGTCACAATAGAAGGCTTGCTATATCGATGGAAAAAAACATGGCAGTAATGGTTTTGACCAGGCCAGAATACTATTTCTAATATTTTACAATTGGCAAAAATCACTTAATTCCTCGATTTATGAAATACGGTAAAACAGGTGTAAATTGAAACACGTCTGAAAGTGAAACTTTTTCAAAATCCTGCAAAGTCCTATTAAAGCTAATTGACTTATTGTTAATGAATCCCTGCAAGTGGAACACCTCCCAAGTGGAACACCTCCCAAGTGGAACATTTTTAGAGGTAACAAAAGTGTTCCTCTACAGGTTTTACTGTATCGTCAACTGAATATAATGTAGAACTCCAGAATATGGGGGAATTTTGAGCTTCCGAACACCCCAAAGTATTATAAATACCAATTTACTAAAAAAGTTGATATTAGCAAGATATAGTTAATTTGAATTCAAAAATAACCATTGACTCCATCCTAGTCATGCTTCGGCACCCAGTCATGTGTTGACACCCAACCTGTCCATTATCAGTAGCTGGGTATACCAAGGGTGGAGTTTAGCATTCTTGAAATGCTTGGAGGGATAACAACTGGATACCTAAGTTACCTTCTGTAATTTTTTTTTTATTGGTATATCACTGCAGTATATTTCAAAATGCAGTCTGCATAGCTAAACATAATCACAGTATAATATACAAAAACAATAGAATCCAGTGCTGAATTTCCCGTTTTCCATCGAAATTTAGTTTCAAGGGACCTTTATTTTCTCATACATTCAAAATCACATATATAAGCTGGTAATTCATAACTCAAGTAACAACAGTTTTTGAAATATTTTTGTCGTCTTAAGCATTGTTTACCTATTATCTTCCGCCTAGAGTCGCAATTAAATTTTAGAATCCCTTCCTCAATTAATGCCTCGTGTGACCAGTCTCTGGGGGAGTCTGGTTCTTTACATTCAAAACTTGTGATACGAGGTGGCTTATCCAGAAAATCAAATTTTGAATAATCCGAACAGTCCTTGCGACACTCCATTTTACCAATGCGAGTTATATTAACGAATTCAATCATACAACAAGCCTTGCCAGGATTGATGACATATTTTTTCGTTTTCGTCGGAGCATTTTCGTAAATGAAATGCAGCTTGCAATTTTGGATTGGAACTGGGTCTTTGAAGGTGGCAAATCCGAGTCCGCCAAAGTGAATGTCAGTTTCTGTGCCTGTTATTGAGTGATCTGGCCCTGGGGGTAGAGATTGTGTAGTCCTTAGTCTTACGAATTGTATACCCAGTAGTAATGTGCTATATAATAGGGCAGCACGTCTTATTAAAAACATGATGTATATCTTGTTGCTCTACCTGAAATAAAGACCCATTTTGAAAAGAAAATATGAATTCAAGACGGTGTTTGGCATTCGATGGTTGTTGTTTGGTGGTTGGCATCTGTAGCAAATGACAGGTGGTGACATTTTGCATGTCAATGCTTTGTCTTGAATGTATGAGCTTATTTCAGTAACTCCATTCTTAATTTTATGCCACTATCTTAAAATATTGACAAGTCTATATTTTTGTTGAAATGAAAGTCCATAGTATTAATTTCAACATCACTTCATAATCAGAAATTATATTAATCCTGACTTATGGATAAATATGATATCTCATTTTAATTGAATATTCTTCATTAAATTATGGATGTAAATATTTCTTATGTAAGTATGGATTTTTAACACAATCTTATTATACATTTATTTATGTAATCTATTCAAATGTAGTAAATAGCAAGTCAACAGGATCTATGCATTTTTTTAAAATTTGAATAATATTTCTCTTTATAACGAGCTTCTGTATTCTCGCAAATTCACCTATTTTTGCATTCTAGATACCTGACCTGAATAAATATTTATTTACCTTTTCTGTGAAACATCCGTTAATTGAAATCCATTTGAGTAACTGATGGTGTTTGTTCAATACATGATTACCCTTTAATTATACATGAGATTTAATTTTTGATTAAGAGAAGTGATTAATTGTTCGACCATTCATACAAATGAACTTATTTGATAACGATTTCCAAAGACATTACCTCTATTCAGTAATTAAATACTGTAAATATAGTCATTTTGGCACCATATTTAATTCGTGGATTAACCAATTCTCTACAATTTCACCAATGTTCATCAAAGTCTAACTTCAAATGTTCTACCGTGGTACATTAAGAGATTTCACAAAAAGAAATAGCTGCCAATGTAAATGATTATGAAAACTACAATTCGAATCATGCCAAATTGATGTAACTTACAGTATGTTCCGTACAATGAGTGCCAGTTTGCCTATTCATGGATCGCATCTGTTGTATATTTTAATGTAATTAAACTAGGAAATGTACAATAAAACTAATATTAACTGATTAAAATTTGATAATAATCGGAATTATGACAAATGTTGACTCATAAAAATGCCATGTTTAACCTTGGTTATTCCGCATCATTTGATTAAAATATAAAATAAGAAAAGCACTCTTCAAGAGGCCTCCTTATGTTTCCCTTATCAGTGATCTCCCTAGCATTAAATCAAGTGGGCGAACACCCACCTGAGATTTTGATAATAGGCTTGAACCCACCTGAGAATCCATTTGCACCCACTTGAAAATAAGAAAATCATGAAAAATGGGCATATTTTGACCAGTTTTGATCGGAATTGCTGAAATGTGAAATTGAGAATTTTGCAACCGCATTTTAGAAAATGGGCATCTGCAATCTGGAATGGTCAGAGCAAGAAATAATGTAAAATTGTCATTTTTTGAAAGTCACTCTCAACTTGTCATGCCATAACCAGAAGTGGTGACATATTGTAGTCTCCAAATTTTTGTGATAGTGTTTGGCGTTTGGTGTTTGTTGTCTGAAACAAATGGCAAGTGGTGAGATTTCCATGTTAATGTCTCGTGTCAACCTCTCTCTATCCCTTTTTCCTTTAAATAGGTGTTACTTCTTGCAGTTACTCTCAGTGACCTCTCTATTCTCTAACATTTAAACAAGTGGCAACTGTACCCACTTGATATTTGAAAATAGGGCAACACCCACTTGAAGCCCCATTTGGATATGAGAAAAATCATGAAAAATTGCAAATAATTTGACCAATTACAAAATTATAAAAATGAGAAATTTTATCCAATTTAAGAATTTTGGGGCGAAAACTGATGCGACAATATTTATGTTTTTATAAAGGTTTTGAAAGCTGTCAACAGTTGGGACAACATTCATCATCATAGCAACAAGAGATGCAGTTGTACTGCCATAGCAACCAAGAATGATGGTGTCATAGCAACAGTGGGAGAAGATGGCAGGATCCATATTTTGAATATTGAGCAGCGTGATCCAGTTCGCACTATAAGTATGTATTCAGTTCAATTTTATTGTTGTGATTATGAATTTGTGAAAAATATACAATTAGTTCATCAAAAACAAAAGTTCCAATTCATTAGAATTGAAAAAGTGAACGGCACCAACATCTAATCAGATCATACCACAAGTTATATTACTCTGCCACAACTACTTGTTGTCAATATTAAATTATATGTGATCAGCGTCACACCCTAATAATTTCCTAGTTAGAGTTCTGTCATATAGTGCATATAGACTGGCAGATCCAGAAGCTAGCGAAGGGGCGCCCAAATTCCAAGTCGGGGAAAAAATTGGGCTCCTAAGACAAAAAATTAGGCCCAAAATTTGAAAAATTAAGGCCCATTTTTTGAAAATTCGGCCTATAAAGGCCCAAAAAGCCTAAGTTATGCCCAAAAACGCCCATTTCTTGAGGCCCTTCAAGATTTCTGGGCCCACTCAAGTGTGTGGAGGGCCCGGGCCCCATGGGCTCCTTTGGATCTGCCAGTGATATATTTACATAGGGATAAATAAGAATAACAAATCATTTTGTAAAAATTGTTTCAATTGTAAAAGTATTTTCTTAGTATATCATGAAAAGATATGAATTATAGAAAATATACCTTTGGATAAAGGTGCATCTGTTACGAGGTAGTAAAGTACAGAGTACTATTCAGAGGTTAACTGTACCAATTAATTCACCAGTATATCAATGAAACAAAATAAAACCATGATTTGATCTCCCCAGCATTAAAGCAAGTGGGCGCAGCACCCACCTGAGATTTTGATAATAGGCTTGCACTCAACTGAGAATCCATATGGGCATATTTTGACCATTTTTGGTCTGAATTGGGAAAGTGAGAATTTTGCACCCACTTGAAAAAAAATCCAGAGGAGATCACTGCCATGATTTGATTAACTAAACTCTGCTGGCAATTCAGTATATCCATTTGATATTTATAGGATATCCTATGATTTTGAGGAATATCATTTTTATCTACGAGGTGATATTGATATCTGCACGAGAGAGCGAAGCGAACGAGTGCATATATCAATATCACCGAGTAGATTAAAATGATATTCTGAAAAAATCATAGGATGTTCTTATTATCCTACACTTACAAGGAGTGTACTGAATGTATAATATCATTGTAAAATGAATTTCATGCCAAATAGAGTCAATTTGGCGGGAAATCAACAAGCGGAGTATATCGTCACAATATCCTCCGCATATTGGGTTTTCCGGAGTATATCGTCACGATATCCTCCGCCCGGAGTATATCGTAACGATATCCTCCGGATATTCATTTTGCCAATAAATATCAAATTTATTTTTTCATGTTATTATACATTTAGTACACTAAGTGTAGGATAATCTGCGATATGAAGATTGTAATATCTACAGCAAATGATGTAAAGATGATTTATATATTATTTATATTATACCAATTAATTATATGAAGTCGAAGTGAGAAAAACGAGATAAAATTGTTTCTTTTATTTCTGAGAATTAATGCACTTTTAATACGTTCATAACAAAGATTGAATCTTTGGAAGATAGGCATCCACTTAAAAATCCATAATTTATAGTTTTGTTATAAAAACAACTTGTTTTTCTGTAAATGCCATATACATTATAGAATACTGGTTTAGTTAGAACATCTGTGGAATTTTTATGATTTCTACCAATGTAATTAAATTGGAGAGTTAATCTATTTTCACACATTGTTAGAAATAAATTCATGCTGGCTCCTGCTTACAAATGTAGGCATTAAAAGTACGGAGAGAAAAAGATTCTAAGTGGAATCTCATTCCACATAAATGTGTTTCAGTTTACATGTACTGTAAATTAGACTGATTGCCATATTTTAAGTATAAGGATTTTTGTGTCCGTTCACGAATTATTCTTTGCGTGTTAATGCCGTGTATTGTCCCTCCCTTGACATTTTCCCTATCATGAAAAAATCAGTGAGTCCAGATTGAAACTTACTGGCTTTGGGCCACTGGACCAGCGCTTACATTGCAGTGTTCTCCAAAGAATTTTTTCTCAAGTTGGTGCAAAATTCTTATTTTCATGATTTAGACCATATTTGGTCAAAATATGCCTATATTTCATGATACTCTCATTTTCTAGGTGAAATACAATTGTATTCTGATTTTATCCTATTTATGTTTCAGATAATGCGGACAGTAGCTCAATGAATGGCGTTGCATATTTGAAACAGTTTGAAATTGTAACAGTGAACTCTATTGGACAGTTGAAGGTGTGGGATCTCAGACAGCCAGATGTAGAACCAAGAATATTTGTACTGTGAGTTTTTTTGTTATTGAAAATATTAAATTGGCACTTTTTCATGTTGGTTTATAGCACATAAATATTTTTTGTTACAACCTTTAAATTTTTTTCAAACCAATCTGGTTTCTAATTTTTCAAAGTTGTTGACACAAGTTGAAATATGTTTTTGTGAATGAAAAACTGTTTATATACATATCATATTCTCTCTAACGAGCACACAATGTGGTTTCCAAATTGAAATTCAAAAGGGTAAGATATTGAGAGATTCCAATAAGCACACATACAACAAATTGAGAAAAGAATATCGCACATAATCTTTTTAGTCATTATCACTAAGGTTTACATACTCTTCAGCTCCTGTATTTTTTTCTCTGCATTAAATATAATCATCAATCAATATCTTGTTGTGTAAATAATCAAAACAAATGCATTAAAAGTCATGTTTTCTTGAGATCATATTCAACATGCATGTGTGCTTAATGGAACTATGCATTCATTAGAGAGAATATGGTAGCCAATATTTTTATGCGCAATTTAAAAAATGTGAGAAAGGTTTTCAAAATCCTGAATCCTCCAGTTAAATGCACCAATCGCCTTGGAAAAACCTATGTAAAATATGTATTTTCAGTACTGGGGAAAGGACACCTTTGCACTGTGTTAGTAACCACCCCAATCAGCCACACATAGTTGCAACAGGGGGACAGGATGGTAAACTGAACATATGGGATATGAGGCAAGAAAAGTTCCCTGTCACAATATTAGATGGACACGATGCAAATAGTAAGTTCTAAGATTAATGAGGACATTTTTCTTCATGAAAGTAGCTTATCTTAAAGAAAGTAGCATTTAATCTGGGGGTCATTAACAGAATTTTCGCAAAGTTACGAATAAATTCGTAAATATTTAAAAAGTTACGAATGACTTACGAATTCGTAAAGTTACGAATCGGCCATTAACAGAACACTTTCGTAAGTCATTCATAAGTTTTATGGTTCGTAAACGAATTTCAAATTGTGACGTCATCTTATACCATCATTTAGCACAAATAAAAATATGATGTCATTTGATATCATTGCGCGATTTCAAAGATTCCCAGCTCAGGAACATATTTGCTTATCATGTAAGAATAGGTAGATATTTTAGCTTGAAACTTAGCATGCATCTAAAGAACAATTTATTTTTGCCAACCCGTATACTTTACATAAGAACTGGATGAGAAATATGCCATTCGCAAAGTTATGAAAGGGTCTGAGGTGCTATTAAAGTTACGAACGAAAGCATGCGTGACGTCATTTTTTCGTAACTTTGCGAATCGTTCGTAACTTTACGAAAGTTCTGTTAATGCAGATTTACCAAATTCGTAAAATAAACAATTGACTTGCGAATTCGTAACTTTGCGAAAGTTCTGTTAATGACCCCCAGGGCCCCGTTTTTGTACCGTTCGTAGTAACGAACGTTCGTAAGTTCATTGTTTAATTTGCGAATTTCGCAAAGTTGCATTTTCGTAAGATTCGTAAAGTTACGAACGATTCGTAAATTTACGAAAATAGTGACGTCATGCCTGTTTTCGTTCGTAGATTTAATACCACCTCTGACCCTTTCGTAACTTTGCGAACGGCCTCTTATTTATTCATTTATATTGTGATTTGTGACATTTTGTCATTCTAAATCAGAGAACACAAAGGGCAACACTGTTATCAACGTATTATCAACCTATTTCTATATATATTTTAGTACTTTTCACGGAATCTTTATTTTTATAAAGTTCTTATTGTATGACTTTGGTTTTATTATTTTGATCAACCCTGTTTGTTGTACTATCTGTCCTGACAACTGTTGAATATGACGTCAACCAATTCGTAAATCTTACTCTAAACAATTGGAAAGTTACGAATGACTTACGAAAGCGTACAAAAATGATCCATTCGCAACTTTACGAATTCGTAACTCATTCGTAACTTTTTAAATATTTACGAATTTACGAATTGCGAACGTTCGTTACTACGAACGGTACAAAAACGGACTCCTGGATAATATTTACTTTGAAACTTTCCAGCAATTCGATTATCCATGAATTTCAAAGACCAGACATGGGAAAGTAGATTAAGATAAAACTGAAAATTAATGTGAACTTTTACAATGAATCGTCCACTGTACAAGAATATCTTGTTTTAGTGTGAGAGTTGAAGTTCCACCCTACCTCCCCTGACAACCTGCTCATCCAGACTGAATGCTTCATTCTGATTGGGCCACTATACATGAATATCTTATTTTAGTGTGAGAGTTGAAGTTCCACCCTACCTCCCCTGACAACCTGCTCATCCAGGCTGAATACTTCATTCTGATTGGTCCACTATACATGAATATCTTATTTTAGTGTGGGAGTTAAAGTTCCATCCTACCTCCCCTGACAACCTGCTCATCCAGGCTGAATACTTCATTCTGATTGGTCCACTATACATGAATATCTTATTTTAGTGTGGGAGTTGAAGTTCCACCCTACCTCCCCTGACAACCTGCTCATCCAGGCTGAATACTTCATTCTGATTGGTCCACTATACATGAATATCTTATTTTAGTGTGGGAGTTGAAGTTCCACCCTACCTCCCCTGACAAACTGCTCATAAACAGACTAAATACATAATTTTGATTGGTCTACTATACATAAATATCTTATTTTAGTGTGGGAGTTGAAGTTCCACCCTACCTCCCCTGACAAACTGCTCATAAACAGACTAAATACATAATTTTGATTGGTCTACTATACATAAATATCTTATTTTAGTGTGGGAGTTGAAATTCCACCCTACCTCCCCTGACAACCTGCTCATACAGACTAAATACATGATTCTAATTGGTCCACTATACATGAATATCTTATTTTAGTGTGGGAGTTGAAGTTCCACCCTACCTCCCCTGACAAACTGCTCATAAACAGACTAAATACATAATTTTGATTGGTCTACTATACATAAATATCTTATTTTAGTGTGGGAGTTGAAATTCCACCCTACCTCCCCTGACAACCTGCTCATACAGACTAAATACATGATTCTAATTGGTCCACTATACATGAATATCTTATTTTAGTGTGGGAGTTGAAGTTCCACCCTACCTCCCCTGACAAACTGCTCATAAACAGACTAAATACATAATTTTGATTGGTCTACTATACATAAATATCTTATTTTAGTGTGGGAGTTGAAGCTCCACCCTACCTCCCCTGACAACCTGCTCATCTAGACTGAATACTTCATTCTGATTGGTCCACTTAACATGAATATCTTATTTTAGTGTGGGAGTTGAAATTTCACCCTACCTCCCCTGACAACCTATTCATCCAGACTAAATACATAATTCTGATTGGTCCACTGTACCTGAATATCTTATTTTAGTGTGGGAGTTGAAGTTCCACCCTACCTCTCCTGACAACCTGCTCATAAACAGACTGAAGACATAATTCTGATTGGTCCACTGTACATGAATATCTTATTTTAGTGTGGGAGTTGAAGTTCCACCCTACCTCCCCTGACAACCTGGTCATCCAGACTAAATGCTTCATTCTGATTGGTCCACTATACATGAATATCTTATTTTAGTGTGGGAGTTGAAGTTCCACCCTACCTTCCCTGACAAACTGCTCATAAACAGACTAAATACATAATTCTGATTGATCCAGTGTACATGAATATCTTATTTTAGTGTGGGAGTTGAAATTCCACCCTACCTCCCCTGACAACCTGTTTAGCTGTAGTGAAGATGGCTCTGTTTGGCACTGGGACGGCACAACTGGCAACTCTATACAAATGCATGGTAGGTTATTTATATATTAGATCATTTCTTCAATGAACAATAAGTACTATACATGTATTCCCAATCTCTACATATTCCTACTCCCTAAAAAATGGTGCATACATCAGAATTGACAGTGTAACTCATTCGCACTATGTCACCTAGATCCTAGTAAATGATGATCATCTGAAATGAGAGAAAAAATTACTGTTTCTTTGCTCTTATAAGCAACTCTATAATACTGATTTGTTCTAGAAAAATAAAATTTTTTAGTCTTCAATATTCTCTCTTTCGTTCGACATGAACTTATTCTTCATGAATATATTCCTTAAAAACATGTTAATAGCAATAGAAAACATTCAATTCTTACCTTAGATGTGAAACAGATCGCTCACAAATCGATAGACAAGTAATTGTTTACATTTTGTGACATTTAAATAGACCGGAAGTTGGTCTCGCCAGATTACGCTATTCATAGTATAATTAATTTTGCTTCGTGGAGGTGTTTTGTCTGTTATAATAAGTTTGTTTTTAATCAATATTATTTAAAAAATACTACAATTACAGAAATTATAACATTACTAATGTCTTTGTTAAAAACTTGAAACATGTTTGTGTTTAAATCTCCCGCACAATCGCAGCGCCATCTGTGCTGATTCAGCATGACTGCTTTGACAGACTACAAGAATTGCGAGATTAAATCTCAATTATTGAAATACAAAAGCAACGTTTGGAATGGGTAATCAGAGGACAATGTATCAATATGCAGAATCTGTAGGGAGATCATAAAGTATCTTCACGGTGAGAAAAATATTTTCTTAGGCTAAATTTTTTCCTCAAGTTAAGTTAAGACATAGGTCTGGGAAAATGTATAATAAAAAAGATGAGTTGAATACACCAAGTAAAGAGATCTCTTTACTTGGTGTATTCGACTCGATCTTTATATGCATGTTCCCGGGGCTATGTTACTGCTTGTGCTACATGTAGATCTCAGCTCTTAATACAATCAAGGACAGAAAAATCTAAAGTTTAAAATTTAAAGTTGGCCACTAGGCCAATAAACTTTGCTTTGTCAAGTCAATTTAATAAAAAAGGATAGTGGGACCAGGATAGAAAGTGGCCAACATGGGCAAGGCTAGATAGAAAGCTAAAACCTGTTTCTTTATGAGCTGTCTTTACTATTTTATAAGGAAATATTAACATTTTACGAGACCCGCGAGAACCGTGAAAGAACCGAACCGTGAACCTAAAAACCGTGACCAAACCGAACCGTTGGAATTTTGAACCGTTTGACCCCTATTAATTGAATGAAGTTAAAATGAATACAAACCATGTTCTATGTAGCATTGCCATCTATTTAATAGTCTATTTTATATCTTTTAGTTGAGATGGTTCAAATCATACAGCAAGAGGTTTAAATGTCCAAGGGTCCAGTAGTTCATCACCTTGGTTGACCAATGATGCATCTAAACACAGACTTGATATAACTCCATTCTATTTTATATTTACAGGATTAGATGGTTCAAATTATACAGCAAGAGGTTTAAATGTCCAAGGGTCCAGTAGTTCATCACCTTGGTTGACAAGTGATGCTTCCAAACACAGACTTGATATAACTCCACTTTATTTTATATTTACAGGGTTAGATGGTTCAAATTATACAACAAGAGGTTTAAATGTCCAAGGGTCCAGTAGTTCATCACCTTGGTTGACCAGTGATGCATCTAAACACAGCCTTGATATAACTCCATTCTATTTTATATTTACAGGGTTAGATGGTTCAAATTATACAACAAGAGGTTTAAATGTCCAAGGGTCCAGTAGTTCATCACCTTGGTTGACCAGTGATGCATCTAAACACAGCCTTGATATAACTCCATTCTATTTTATATTTACAGGGTTAGATGGTTCAAATTATACAACAATTGCTTTAAATGTCCAAGGGTCCAGTAGTTCATCACCTTCGTTGACCAGTGATGCATCTAAACACAGCCTTGATATAACTCCATTCTATTTTATATTTATAGGGTTAGATGGTTCAAATTATACAACAAGAGGTTTAAATGTCCAAGGGTCCAGTAGTTCATCACCTTGGTTGACAAGTGATGCATCCAAACACAGACTTGATATAACATCATTGATTCCTGATAACATAATGCCAGTGAACAGCTTGGACATAGTTAACAACACACTGCTATGTGGCACTGATAATGAGACAATATACACCATCAATGACCTCAACATTAAATAATTCTGGGACTTGAATGTCATGACTTAAATATTTAAGGCTGACACTATATGAAGAACTGGCATGGAGCTCTAATGAGCTCCTACCCCCTTTCTTTTCCACACTTTACCTTCACAAGCATGGAAAATGGAAGCAGGTTACTTATGGATTTCATATCTATTTGTCAAATATGAATTTATGACAAGGTCCCATGTTATTATTATTTTCATGTCACAACCAACATTGGTGACATATTGTTATGGTCTCCAACTTTTTTGTGACGGCAGATGGTGCTCGATGTTTGGAGTTTGGTGTCTGTAACAAATGGCAGGTTGTGACATTTTGTATGTTAATGCTTTGTTTGATACATGCTGAGAAAATGGCTGACCCAAAGAACAGGTCCATTTAACAGACTATTGATCCACTTAGACTTTTTCCAAAAAACTCATTCTTCCATTTACTTTTAAAACCGATTGCAAGTTGTAGGTAAACCTTTTTTCTTGAGATGTGCAATTTCAAAAAGTGGCATTAGTTTTCAGTTTCTTTGAAAAATTGGCAGTAAGAACCCCTATCACAAGGTAGTCTGAATATGGGTACACACTACGTTTACCATCAAAATAATATCAAAACTTATCATTATATAGACTTTATTACATGGAACATATGGCATACAAGCATTCGGAGTAGAACATTAACAGAATCCAGCTATGTATGAAGTTTACCAATGCAAATCTGGAGAAAATTGTCATTTTTTGTTCACTTTGTTATCAAGTTTTAGCATGGTGCTCATTCCCTTTCGTTGAAAATTTAACCATCAGCCCACACTCCCACAAAAAAGATATTGAAACTGTATAATGCAGAGACTGTACAGTAGCTTCTCTGCAAATATCATTGTTGTGGGAGTGTGGGCTCACCACTAAAACTTAACTTTTGTGATGAAAATAAGGCTGACTGGTTTATGTTTTCAATATGGCTGCTAACCTGGGCATACATGTGCACTACATAACTGCATGTACAGATTAGGCCATTCAAAATTAATTATATGTTGGCATTCTGATGATGGGCCTTATATTAAAAACTACAAAACCTTTATTAATTAAAGGGTTTTATATATTATTTAATAGTGAAAATGCAATAGCACATTGTGGCAAAACAAGTAACACACCTCTTGATTCAGATGACATTGTTAATGAGACAATACTGAAGCTTATATACATGGAGTTTTTAATCAATCTTGGAACTCATTCCACTACAATATAATCCAAGATCACATTTCCCTTTGTCATTTATATGCATTACATGGGAACATTTTGTTTTTTCTGAAAACATAGAATTTAGTGACATTAATTATAAAAATATCTTTGAATGGCCTAAGTGTTTTTCTAAATAGGGAATAAGAGAAATTATTTTAGGCAATCCTTTGAGTGTCATTTATACATGATGCTGCCTTATGTTTTATGATATATACTAAAAGAGGATATCTCTGAATTATTTGTGTTTCAAATATGGGAACTGCAAATTGGCAAATAACTTTAAGATTAAGTGTCCATACAGGCATTTAATTTCAAATTCCAAAGCAAAAAAGCAAATGCCAATGGGCATTTATTAAAAGTGACCCTATAACTATTTAGAATATGGCAAACATGTTTAGAAAACTGGCGAGAAGCAATTGAAATAAGAAAATCCATTCTCATGGAACTGCCCTTGTATGCATTTAATTGCAGACATTTTATCCCAATTGCCCATGGGCATTTAGAATAATAATCACATCCCAACTATTAAAACATGCTTAAGGTACTATTGGAGTCTCAAAAGGTAACAAGAATATTCTCAAGATTTTCATGTAATTGCCTGTGAGAATTTATTAAAAAATATTTTTATTTCCATTCATATGTCTTCAGTCAGTCATAATCAAAATTAAGCCAATTGCTTTCATTCCTTGTATTAGAAAACTACAAAATTTTGACAAAAATAGCATCTCTCAAAGTTGACCTTTAAACCACCCTTATGTCAAGGTCAAATGTCAAAATTATCAGAAATCACATTTTAAGTAATAAGTCATACTTCCTCTTCGATTCCATGTTAATATATACTTGTTTTGTAGGGGGGCTAAAAGAGGGGTTTACCGCCACCTGTCCTTTAAAAGATCGGATCAATGACTTTTGCCTTGCGCTTGTGTTGCACTCTAGGGAGGGTTCTATTTCAATTTCAATTTCAATTTTATTTATTATACCATCACCCAAATAAAGGGTATTAGGCAAAAGTACATACAGTAAATAAGTATTTAACAATTAAGTATTTCATAACAAACATATTTACAATTGCTTCCCAGCCTCATTTAGAAACTTGTTTTTATGTACAAATGCTGTAAAACTGAGAAGAAAATAATATATCATGGTGTAGACACAAACAGATTTGCCTGATTGTCTTGTGTTGTACATTGATGATTTAACAGGTATCTTTAGTACTACATTAGTGTACATGATCATTGTACATGTGCAGAGTTATCTTCAATTGTTTACTCATTCGCCATCTATTATACACAATAGAAATGGATCAACTGAATGATGAAAACAGGATGATGGCATTCTGAAAAACTGTCTGTGTTTAATTCAATCGATGATGCAAAAGGAGAGGGCCATGGTATTCCATGATGGGATTTTGGACATTTTCCTCTGACATCACTGAGAAATGGTACATATCATTATAGCTACCATTTTTATCCTTCAGAAAAAGTACAATATTTTTGTCAACTTATAGGGTGTAAGACTGCCTCTCGTTTTCTGCAAAGTACTGGTTATGATTTGGTGAATGAAAAATCAAATTTTTTGTAATAAACAAGTTATCGAAAAATATTACGTTTTTTATTATGTAATATTTTAGTTTTTGTTTTATTAAATATTTTAAAAAACCAAATGATACTGTCTTTTCTTCTTGCTACCACATGTTTGTAGAGGTATTTATTTCTTAAGATACGTCTAATGTAGATCAATGAACTATTTACATTGAAAGAGCTCTCATTTTTTGACCCTATAGGGTAAATGAGATGAATATATTTATCCAAAAGCTTTTGGAAGGAACGCCTCTCTAGGAGGAACTGTGGTATTTAAAATATCCAAATAGGTTTTCATTGATTCCATGTTCACAAGTTAACATAAACTATTTACATTGAATAGGCATAGAATCCTTTGAGCCCCTGTGTCTGGGACAAACAATCCTAAACAGTAAAAACTGTCCCAAGGAACACCTCTCTACAAGAAATTATTTTCAAAATAAACAAATATTTTTCCATAGACTATTAAAATAAGATAACCTGTACTATTTACGATGAACAAGCACAGAGTAATACAATAATACAACAAGAGAATACAAAAGCAAATAGTGCAGTCCTAATAATTAATAACATAGGCATACATACTAGCATATACGATACTTGCATAGGTTTTGAATATTGTGCGTATTAACTGTGAATCTCTTGCCTGCTATATAAGTTCCTTCACATTAATAAACTAACCCAACAAACGCGAGCAGCATTCATCAAATGTGAAAAACATTTTAACAATATCAAATATGAAAAACATTGTCTACACCAAACGTGAGCAACTTTGACAAAATCGAACATGAGGAAAATTATCCACATCAAATGTGAGCAACTTTGACAACATCAAATGTGAAAAAACATCGTCTACACCAAACGTGAGCGACTTTGACAACATCAAATGTGAAGAACATTGTCAACACAAAACGTGAGCGACTTTGACAACATCAAATGTGAAAAACATCGTCTACACAAAACGTGAGCGACTTTGACAACATCAAATGTGAAAAACATCGTCTACACAAAACGTGAGCGACTTTGACAACATCAAATGTGAAGAACATCGTCTACACCAAACGTGAGCGACTTGACAACATCAAATGTGAAGAACATTGTCTACACAAAACGTGAGCGACTTTGACAACATCAAATGTGAAAAACATTGTCTATACCAAACGTGAGCGACTTTGACAACATCAAATGCGAAAAACATTGTCTACACAAAACGTGAGCGACTTTGACAACATCAAATGTGAAAAACATTGTCTACACAAAACGTGAGCGACTTTGACAACATCAAATGTGAAAAACATTGTCTACACCAAACGTGAACGATTTTGACATCAAATGTGAAGAACATTGACTTCACCAAACGTGAGTAATATTGACAACATAAATGCGGAGAACATTGACTTCACCAAACGTGAGTAATATTGACAACATAAATGCGGAGAACGTCGACTTCACCAAACGTGAGTAATATTGACAACATAAATGTGGAGAACATTGACTTCACCAAACGTGAGTAATATTGACAACATAAATGTGGAGAACATTGACTTCACCAAACGTGAGTAATATTGACAACATAAATGCGGAGAATATTGACTTCACCAAACGTGAGTAATATTGACAACATAAATGCGGAGAACATTGACTTCACCAAACGTGAGTAATATTGACAACATAAATGCGGAGAATATTGACTTCACCAAACGTTAGTAATATTGACAACATAAATGCGGAGAACATTGACTTCACCAAACGTGAGTAATATTGACAACATAAATGTGGAGAACATTGTCTACACCAAACGTGATCGACTTTGACAACATCGAAATAATGTGAAGAACATTGTCTACACCAAACGTGAGTATATCATATTAACGCAGGAGAGAGACGTGGTCGAGGAGGTAGAAGTCAAAGGGGAATGCCTTCAAGGACCAGGCACACGGGTACCGAGAGGTGGACTATCTTTCCTTCCAATGGAGCAGCAGGTCATACTTTAGCGACTTTAAGGGCAAAGCAGTGTATGAGCACTGGTCTTATCTTACTAGCTATGACGGAACAGTGACAGGGGTAGGCTGTGGAGGTGGAATTCGTGCCAGTGGTTTCTGTACTATCGGACCAATCATACTGGCATTTAGCATACTAAGCTTGATATCTGGGATACTATGGTGCAAAAAGATACATAAAGGTGTTAATAAGAACACGATTGGTGAATCTAATGTGGTAAACGTAACAAGTAATGGTACCAGTGTAACATTGGCTCGTAGTAGAAGCAACGATATAGAACCAGCATTTAGGGCATCTGTTACGACATCCATAAATCCAAGAGCACCAACAGTTTCGTTGCAAATGGCTCAACCAAGCGCCCCGCATTGCAATAGTATTACAGCTGATGATCTTAATTCAGCCCCACCGTCTTACGACTCTGTCATGCAACAGCACGTGCTTCCTCCAGATATTAGTAATAGAGCTAATAATGAGCCATCTGACCGTACAGGATATGTTCATACAGCAAGGCAATCTGGAAGTAACCCTACTTCTAGAGTAACCCCACCTCCATTGTATGTTGATGTCATCAATGAAAAATTAAATTAAACTTCTTTTTGCCATCTGACACGGCCATCATTCTCCCATGCACATGATGCATGGTGGACTTAATTTTTTTATTAAAATGTTGCCCGAAAGCCAATAGCTCTTGCATTAATCACTGAGTTTATGTGTATCGAATGGAAGATCACTTATAAAAGAAGCAAATGATTTTATGTACAAGAATAGTATATCTTCACCACTTTATGGTATAACGCGCGGGTACATTTACCTGAGATACGGTTTAACTCAAATTCACATTCCTTGTGTTGTACCTTAACGTTAACGTGCTTTGTACCGTATACTACATTAGGAAATTCACTGTCAAGTTCACTGTCTAGGATGTTGTTACAGACATTAACATATAAAATATCTAGAAACTAGACCAGATCTTTCTGAAAATATGAAAACATCAGTTTGCTCAAATTTCATCACCCTTGTTATTGTACCTTACCCCACGCGTTCAACTGTCACGCTTAATTTGGTACACACCCTTTGTTTGTCCGCGTGGCGTGGAAATGGATGCAGGTATATACGTGAGAAGTTGTACCAAATAGATTTTCTTACACATGTAAACGTTTCTGAAGCTGGCTCTTACCAATATCAGTGTAATATTGGCAATATTAATGCCGATCGTCAGTGTAAGAAAAGCGAGGGACTAAATACGTGAATTGTGTCTTTGTTAACATATAAAACCTAAAACCATCGACACATTCTCAAACTAGACTATCTTCCTTAACTTCGAGCCAAATTATTATCCACAACGTGACTTATAAGTAGGTGTAAATCGGGAAATAAAAAATCTTACCGAAACCTAGTCCCGGAGGAAGTTCCGCCATGATACACCGACGATACGTCTGTGTAATTGGGTGGGTAGCAGTAGACGTCTTAATTATATTGGCGATTTCAAATGTGTACCAATAGCGTACTTATAGTAAGTGAGTACACCGAGGAAGCATCCCATTGTTATTAGTTGACAGCCATCCTTCTACATGTTCTATCTTTATCACACCATCGGTGGGATATAGTCGTCATACTGGTCGTGGTCGTGGTCGTGATCGTGGTCGTGATCGTGATCGTGGTCGTGATCGTGATCGTCCCGCTTTTTGTCATCGCCGTTTAAGGAAAACTGCTCATCAGATTTTCTCCAAATTCGAAGAGATGATAGAGCATATGAAGTACTAGAGCTGATTAACTTTTGGGTGGCCATCTTGTTTTCTGGCGGCCATTTTGAAGGTTTTTCGAAAAATCTTGTCATCGCCATTTCAGAAAATCCGCTCATCGGATTTCCTTCAAATTTACACACATAATAGAGGATATCAAGTACTAGAGCTGATTAACTTTTGGGCGGCCATCTTGTTTTCTGGTGGCCATTTTGAAGGTTTTTCGAAAAATCTTGTCATCGCCATTTCAGGAAAACCACTCATCGGATTTCCTTCAAATTTACACAAATGATAGAGGATATCAAGTACTAGAGCTGATTTACTTTCGGGCGGCCATCTTGTTTTCTTGTTCTTGAAATTTGTAAACATAATAGGAGAACAGTTTTCCTGGTTCATAGTGTCTGTCTATTTGATGGTGTGATCTCGTTCACGTCCTGTGCCTTGTTTCTTAGAATGCTGGATTTACCAAAGAAATGTGATTTTGAACAAAGATTCTGTATTTAACTTTTGGTGTCAATTTGTAACCATTGTATGTTTCCCCTATGTATCAGGAGAGCGAGGAGCGTGAGATGGGAAAATACTAAACAATGTTGACAGACGACAAAATAAAACTGCACCTAACTATGTTTTTGAAATACAAAGATGGCGTTTTCTGTATACGCGACGAAAATACTCTACGCGTGTTCAACCCCTGTTGATAATGCAGTTGTATTCCCTGAGTCAAAAATATCTTGATGGATGAAAGTATGTAAATCGTAATAAAATGTAACTCTCAAACAATCTACAAATGTGATTTTGTTTGAATTTTACATCCAGTCAGAACACGAGGAAACATGAATTGTTTAACTTATTGCATATCATTATTGAAATTACAACCAGATTAACAAAGTAATAAAATATTCTAATAACGACTACTAAGTCTTTTGACATATTTTGTAATTTTATTTCATGCTGTGCTTAGTCATACTTACAACGCAATTCTCTTGTCTTTCAACAATTTAAATACATGGCATGTGATGATACTTTTTGTTATAATACTTTCACAAATATTTTCGATGACATTTAACCAGAAAATTAATAAAAATGATGATACTGCGAGTCTCTGCAGTATCATTATGGGAGGTTCTGATCAGTCCAACGAATGGAGTCAGCATAACTAATTAAGAGACTAGAATCAGTGCAAAGAGACAGATGCAAAGTGCGATGATTCTTGATTTCTTTGTAATGGACTGTATATTTATTATCCCACCGAACGAAGTTCGAGGGGGATATAGAGAAGCCGTCCGTCCGACCGTTTGTCCGTCCGTCCGTCCGTCCGTGTGTCCGGGCAATAACTCCAATACCAGTTGACGGATTTGGTTCAAATTTTATAGGCTTATGCCTTATGAGTGTAGGACCTCTGCTCGAGAAGGAATTTCCAAAATGGCCACTCAATTCAAAATGGCCGCCATTTTTTGTAAAAAATGTAATCTTTGATAACTCAAATACAAGTCGACGGATTTGGTTTAAATTTTATATGCTGATGCCTAGGGACAAAGGAGTTTGCACAAAAAGAGATTTTCAAGATGGCCGCTTAATTTCAAAATGGCGGCCATTTTTGTGAAAACATGTAATCTTTGATAACTCAAATACCAGTGAACGGATTTAGTTCAAATCTTATATGATGATGCTTAGTGACACAGTAGCTATGTTAGACAAAAATTTTTCAAGATGGCCCCTTAATTTCAAAATGGCGGCAATTTTTCGTTATCTTTGATAACTCAAATACCAGTGAACAGATTTGGTTGAAATTTTATATGATTATGCCTAGGGACACAGTAGCTCTGTTCAAGAAATAATTTTCAAGATGGTGGCTGAATTTCAAGATGGCGGCCAATTTTCGTAAAAAACGTAACCTTTGATAACTCATATACCAGTGAACGGATTTGGTTCAAATTTTGTATGATGATGCCTAGTTCACAATGGTATAAACTAACTTTGTGCCAAATTTCATGCTTCTATCACAAAGTGCACAAACATTTCAACATTTAAACTAGCTATAATAAGCATAATATGTTTTGTTCGGTGGGATTTGCTACTCCGTGGAGTTGCTGTTTTTCTAGTTGGTATAGTTTTGGCATCATTGTTATATTTATATTGTTAGAACGTATCATTTCAAATCAGATGTGCGATTGAATTAAAACATTGATGATAATTCACACAAGAAATTTTGGAAAGATGCATCTTTTGAATTTGCTGTTCTGGGCGATCCTTGTCTTCATGGTTGGTCGCTCACAAGGTAAATACGATGATCGTAAAACGAGTAAATAATATAAATTGACGAGTTTCTTTATTTTTATGTTTAGTTTAGTTCAACTCTGATTTTAACGCAAACATCCGATCGAATATATTTTCTCAATTCCTTGACAGTATTTCTTGATGACTTCAAACACAATAGTTGCAATGTGGTTTTACCCCCGGGTTTTACCCGTACTTTACATTCAAAAAGTGGAATTATCTTCTTTTTTAAGAACACAGAAAATGTTCCCTCAACAAAATTTAACTTTATAAAGATACAGATTCTGTGCCCTATCATTTTTAGCTCAGAATTAATGTAGTTCTGTATTCTTATATTTTATTTCATTTGTCAGTCATGGATTTATTAACAATACAACACGATCAATTTCCAAAGGACCTAGTGCAATTATTGGAAATACCCATGGTCAAAATGAATCATTTTTTAGGTGTAATATGAAAAAAACAATGTCACATAATACTTAAATAGAATATTTAAGCGTTTGGACCCACATGGGCTGAGGTTAACGTCATTAAATTCAGCAAGGGTGTATTGACTCGACATGGGATGTGCTTCATTGACTTAACATGGGGATATCATAAAATTCCATTAGGGGCCATTGGTTTCCACTGATTGCCACAAAAATACCAAATGTGCAAATATGAAATTTACAATCGATTCAGATCATACTTTAATTAAAAGAGAATACATTTTTTCATAATTTCTTTCCTTCGAAAATGGCCTTAGAAAAAATGCTCTAAAAGCAACTTTTACACTTATCAAATATCATATGTATCGTATGTAAATCCAAAGATTAATAGATTATACCATTATAGTTCATTGATTGATTACAACTTTGGATAAAATCGATTTTGACAGACACAAAATGTTCAGCTGTATTAGCATCTACGCCTCTACACTCCATGGTGGAATATTGACCCTAATGGGTTGCCCATTCATCCGTACAGTGCTGAATATAGGTCAACAAGATACTAGTGTGCATATGTAATAATAAAAGCAGAATATTCATTTGAAAAATCTGATAAAAAAGCAGAATATTCATTTTGAAAAATCAGATGAATTATTTTTTCATGCAGGGGAAACCATAAGCATTCACTTGGTCCTTTTTCCACGAGGGTGTTATTAGCATTACCTATAAGTGTCCGTCCTAGTCTTTGGTTTTCACCACTTAGATAATACTATGAATGTAATGATGAATATCATTTTCCTTTTGTTTGCTACACGGACCAGGTGGTGACAAATGTGAAGGTAGGAACTATCCAAATACTCTAGATAAAGCAAGACATATTGGACATCAATATAACCACATAACAACCTCCAAACAATGAATTTGTCTTGACCTCATACATTATGGGTTCTTGGAATAAAAGCATGACAAATATTCCCTTAGACGTATTAAAGGAGACACGGGAATTCAGCTTTAAATGCGATAGCCTGAATTATCTGCAAGAACTGATCGATGTAACATGAGATACATATAGACCATATAACTCGAATCTTCATTCTCTTTTCCTAATGATCGTCCGTTTTTTTGTTCAGTTTGTTATGTATCTGACTGCTGCGAGGACCCTTCATTTACTGGTAGGAGAAACATCAAAACAAATGTAGGTAAAATATTCAGTGCATATTGTGACCAAGGTTGGACGTACATACTGAGAAGATTCAACGGGGAAGAGGATTTCTATCGTACTTGGGTCGAGTACCAGCATGGTTTTGGTAACCCAAATGGAGAGCACTTTATTGGCTTGGACAATCTTGCCTGTTTTGTGAAGGGGCGCAAGTGTAAAGTGCGATTTGATTTAGAAGCATGGCCTCCCGTATCTCAGGCTAAACGATTTGCCGAATATTCAATATTCAATGTCGCAGACGAGACCCAAAAGTACCGTCTTACCATTGGTGGATACAGTGGAACAGCTGGTGACGCAATTGGAGGAGCAAATGGAGCCATGTTTTCTACCTATGATAGGGATAACGACAATTCGGATGGAAACTGTGCATTGAGTTACAAAGGAGCAATGTGGCACAAGTCCTGTCATGCCGCAAATCCGTTTGGTTTGTACACAAATGGACCAGTTTGCCCCGCCAGAGCCCAGTGCCTCACATGGTTCTCATGGCCTGCAAAGATCGCATCCCCCGATAATTGGTACAACACATTTAAAAGTTTTTCAATTAAGATGCATTGCTGCCACAACCGCTGTTAGATTATGTTGATGTTTCTTGTATTAACATAAAATGTAATAAATTTAGTTAAACGAATCATTTAGTTCGCCATTGCTTGAAACCTAATACAAAATTATATTTTGTACCATAGGCTAAGGGCGATAGAAATCATTTTAAATAAAGATGGCATGGTAATCGATCTATTTATCTATGTTTATCTTACTCTTTGATATCCTTCAATCGAGCATTGTATAATGTCATTTATTTTTCTGAAATGTATCTTCCCAAATTGCTGGAGTAACGCATCGACCCAAATCGACGACATTTTAGAAACGCACAGGCTAGTAATGCCAGTGAAGGTTCAAAGTAGCTGGGGTTGGTAACAAGTAATTGTTTCTGACGTATAACTATATTTTTGTTTTCTCAAATGCAATTATTTTATTTTCCCCATAATCGTAAGCGTGTAGATTGCGTTCGATCAACATTTTGAAAAAATATCGAATGGTTAGTTCGGAACTTATTTTCGTCGATTTGTAATTGTCAAAAGAACGTTCATTTACCAGTTAAGATATTTTACCGAATGTACAGGACAATATTCTAACGTGACAAATGTCACACCCCAATCGATGCTAGTAAAATGTAAAGCATTTTCTTAGACTCTAAACTCCAGTTACAAAAATGGTTGCTGTAACAATGTTCTTTTTCTTATTAGAGTTTATGACCGTAATTATCACAATACGCATGCTTAGATGATAAACTTAATTAAGTATAAAAAACATTAATTATTTTCACGTTTAAATAGCATTGGGTAGAAATATTTCTGCAATATACATGTAAGCCAAAGTTGTTAAACTTCACACGGGGCCTGTAAGGGGCGGTGATAAAATGCAAGCCATTAGCCAAAATAATCTTACATAATTTTATAATTAATTACATAACCTCGAATGGACGTTAAACTAAAACTGCCCATAAATAACATATACAAAGTCATCGCTATAACACGAATAATATGCCACAGGTCTCGTGCACTATCTAGCATATCGCCGATAGGAAATTGTTTGAAAGTCGCCGAGAATCTTGGAATCCAAAACCAAATATATGATATCATAGACACTGGAATCATACCATCCAAAACAGTATGGAAAAGGAACATTAGATCAATAATGTACGACAAAGCACTCTGGAGTTGGAGACTAAAATGTATGATGTACACAAACATTAATTTATACGAGAGTGTTGTGGAATTTCAAAAGCCCAACCTATGGTGGGAAATAGCATCTCATAATAGTCAACTAGTCAAGATATGCAAAACAATGATACTACTCCTCACGGGAGAGGGAAATCTGAATGCAAACACATCTAATTGGGGAACTATTGCCCCGAACCGGTCCGTCTTTTCGCTGCAAGCAGATTGCCCCGAACCGGTCCGTCTTCTCGCTGCAAGCAGGATGAAATTCTTTGTCACAAAGTTTGGCATTTTTTATAAAATCAAACGCGCGTCATTGAAACTCACACGATGTAAATAGCATGTCATTTACATCATACCTTGATGGGGAAAAATAGATCTTATATGTTAGAAGTACTAAATAAAAGTTATCGTGAAAATGAGACAGTCGTTCTCGAGAGAAAAGAGCATAAATGCGCATTTAGAGAGTTTTAGTCCGTTTAAAAATCTGTAAAAAATTGGGGTACTTAAAAGCATCGGGAGGCATCATATATTTCAAATTAGACACGAGGAAGTCAATATTGAGCAAGTTATGGCTATTTTAAATTCAAATAAAACCGTTAACCCGTACCGGTCAATTTTCGTTAGCTGCGTATACCAAGGGTGATATGACAAGCACAGTAGAAGTTTATGCAATGCATGTAAGTCTGAGACTGAAACACTAGAACATCTAATTCTTAATTGTGACGCACATTCACAAATGAGAGATATAATCCAAAAAGAGTTAAACGCAAATAGTATCCCCGAAAACTGCTCAAATGAGATCAAATTAGCAATCATTTTTGGGAAAGATAAACTATTAAAGATAGATAGCTATGTAACGATATCAAAGACGATTTATGCAATGTACACTAGTAACGATAGGATGATACTCTGAAAATAAACCCAATGATTGTAAATACTGGTAGAATGAATATAACTTTTGTCATATGGCACTATTAGAACTAAATCAGGCGTAATGTTGGGGCAGCGGTAGCACCTCAATAAGCTGACTGGTATGATCTAATCGCACTATTTTATTCAAACACCTTTGTATATAGTGTATAATATGTTTTATTTTTGTTATTTATTATCATTGTAATATATTAAAAGTATGTACTCTCCAATATTAGGAGGCAATAAAGATACATAACATTACATAACATAAAACGCCATCATGCACGAATAATACGCAAGGATGTCTCGTGCCAATACAGAATTTCTCAAGCAGAATAAATCCTGTATTCCACTTCAAAATTCAAATCATTCAATAAATTATATTAGTATATTATTTCAGCGAAGGATGTTGATTTCTCTGCATCAAATGTGTTAGAATTTCAATACAAATACCAATATGATCTTACATTAGGATTCGTCAATTCTGTTTGAATCCCATTTTGAATCACAAATTGAAATCATTTTGGTATTAGTACTGAGATTCTATAAATGATGTTCAATATGTACGCACCCCATTCAATCTCATACATGTTGCATAACCAACCTATCATGTTACATATCATTTTGTTACCATGAAAAGTTACATAAAATTGCAGTGTATAACCCAAACACTCCCACATGCACGATGTGACGACGTTGTATTCACTCGGAAACGTTGCGAAGCGAAATAAAATGGCGGATAATGAAGATCCCACGATGGCCGTAAGTATTGTTTCACGCGTTTTCCTACATATCATACGTTATGGTGACATATTATTACTATGTATTTAATTATTTTGTGGCAAAGTGACATGCCACAGTGCTATGTAACGTAACAGGTCCCTAGGTTAAGTAAGTAATAATGACAGGTCCCCAGTTTTAGTTCTCAAGAAGAACGCTGGTGGCGCTGCAATCGTTGGAACAAAATGTCAAATGTTTGAAAGGTGATGTATGTGACCCATTTTCTACATCTTTATTACACCCATTTGCCTTTATATATTGTAAGATTTATGACAAAGTATCTTATCAAGGCTAAGGTATTGGTTTATGACTTGAGGATACTAGATTTCTGTGCGAATTCATGTTCTAATGATCTATTTCCGGTGCGGAGTCTGCATTTTCGTTCGCACATGGCTTTTATTTTGGAAAAATGTGAATATCTCTACATAACTAGCATAGGATGACATTTTTGTGTCTATTTCTCACATGTTATTATATCCACTATATATTTGTGTACTTTTTATGCCATTTCGAATGGGTTTATCTCAAGCTCATTTCTGATGTATGTCCTTGGACATGTTGAATAAGTTCACATTACATAACCCCTATCATTTTATATCTATTTTCAAGTGTAATATACTATTTCAATGCAATCTGGGTGATTCAGGTCATACGTTATGATGTTTGTATGGATTTATATGGATTAATGTAGAGTTTCCATACTGGTGAGAATATTTGTAATGATGTTTTAGGGATCTGTACTAGAGTTAAGGCTACATCCAGTCTAGGGATCCATACTAGAGTAATACTTCATCCAGAGTTAGGAGTTTTATGATGTTATGAGGGTCCATACTTGTGAACATAGCACATTTGGTCAGGAACTTACACCATTGGTATACTGTATATTGTAAGTATAGTATAGCGCTTACTTGGTATGTACATGTAGATGGTCATTTATATACTCTTTCCATTCCATAGAATATCACATTTAGTAGATATTTTATAGGTCATTTTATAACAAGGTACAGCTACAAGACTTATGTTTTTATTATTTCATAATTGTGTCAGTTTTAGTACAAATCAATCTACGACAGTGTATAAGCTAGGTTTGTTAAAATTTGTTATCCATGCTAGGTGTACAGGTTAATGGATTGCCATTAAGGTATGGACATTTGTACATACTTACCATTATTCCATGTATGTTTTAGGGAAGACTAGCAGTGCACGGAGTGGACAGGTGTCTACTATGGTCAACTAGGTTGGATTACTACATTTGTTTGATCTTCTATGGGTAAATTATACATTCGTATATTTTCCTTTATACCTGGTACATGGCGTTTTAGTAGATTTTATGGACATTTTGATAGGGTAATGTTATAATCAGAGCATAGTGCACCATAGTTGGAGTAAGCATGGCAAGTAAGATCAAGCATTAATGATTCGTACCTTTACTGGGATGTACTCGGTTTTCCTATAATTATATAATTATATTGTTTATTTATTTGCAGGATACAATCCTGTTGCCCTTGTTTTGTCACTCGCTAGTATCTACATATATGTCACAGTTGTAATAAAATATGTCATCAACAACAATTACTCATGTTATCTGTGTATATACGCCCCACCTACGAACCGCACTTGGCCACAATTTTATCATGTCCTATTCGATGAACAATACCCTGAGCAAAGATCTTATTTATTCAGCTTCTTGGTAAACTGTTATTTGCTTGATCACAGCTCCGTTTAAGTGTAGATCGAACTAATCTGAATTTGACGTACGAATTGTGCATAAATTAAACTAGTATTTATATGAAAACGCCAATCTTTCTGTCAAAGTAGTAGATCATAAACTCGCATATTCTCATTTGCTAAAATTCCAGTACAAATCCATCACTTGTTCTCAAGAAATCGCTGGTTTTCCTTGAAACGCTCCGTCTGTTTTGGACACACCCTTGAAAACGCTCTTACCATTTTGTTTTGATATTATATTCACATTATTAGAGAAGACTTAGGAGTCGAACCTATCTCTCGAAAACGTGTTGTACTTGTTTGGCAAATTGAAACTTCCCAACCTGGTAGATGATATTTTGCCTACACGTGTGCTAAACCATAAAACTCTCTCTTCCTGAAAAGGGAAGTCAAGCTATACATTTCCTAAACAGATCTAGACTACTGCAACGTTTCCGTTTCACTGTGTAAACTCGATCGCAGCATTCTTGAATATGGGATTTGTCATCATTTTTACGACTGGATTTTCGGTCATCGAATCATAATTACGATAATGTATGGTGTGTTGAAGCTTTGGCTTTGACGCTCTAATCTTGGCTCAACTAATCATATGTCTCGAAAAAATTAAAGGGGTTTTGACCGGTTGAATGACATAAATAGGTTTATGAATTAATTAAACTGTTTCGTACAGCTGTTCTAAATCGATTCAAACGGCCAGTCAAGTAAAACATGAATATCACACCTATCAATAAACACAATCTCAAGAAAAACACAAAGTTTGATTAAGAAATGTATACATTTTATGGGCATAAAAGGGGATGTCATGCTTATTTGCAGTGATTACAAACACATATCTATACATCATGTACTTTAAACATAACTATTATTCAAAGGTAACCCAAAATAAGAAAACATACAAAATGAATGTATGCCAAAGTAATCAATACCACTGTCAATTTTGACCCACATAAAATTGTCCGTCATTTCTGATTCCGACTGAACGAAATGCGATGGTACTTTCAGACCCTTGTGATTGCTATTTGGATGTGTTTGTTTTTCTGATTTACTCAAAATCGTGCAATCAAGGGGACGCAAAACAAAGAATCTACTTCTTATGGCCTTATCGGCGAAATCGTTGGATGGCTGATCATTTCCATCCGTCATTTTTCTAACCCCGGCGCGTTTCGTCGTTAAGATTCATGAAATGAAACGCTCCGTTGTGCATGTCGGAGCGTTTGGGTTATATACCGTGTAAGTTGGATCAACTAAAACCATGTGTATCAAGATGGCTTTTCACCATGTAAGCCAAATTGTTTAGCCTCTTTACCAGCACATGACCAATATTTATATTAACCATATTTTAGAATTTTATTTTTTAGAAAATAGAAATGAAATATAATGTTATCCCATCAATAGTACATAGCAATTATTATAATATACTATGTTGTTGGTTATATTATTTCATCATAAATTAATATATTGTGCTTATTGTAAATACCAGTATTTAGATATGGATTTAAATAAAGTAATAAGATTGACAGCATACTAATGCGATGTTTACTGAAACATTGTGACTCAATCAAACTGTAATTTCTAAGAATTCACAGTAAAAATGTTTAATACATATAGGTTGTCCGGAAAGTAAAGATACGGATGCTCTAATTTCAATTTCAGTTGTGGGATAAAATTGCTACAGATTGTAGAATTACAGTACAATTTATCCTGCAGCAGTCATGACATATAGTTTCAAAATGAAAAAGTTATGGTTGTTATGGTTACAGGAGTGGGGGTTATGTGGAGCAACGTGACTTTTTTTTCCTATCATATCATATCAATCATATCATATCATATCATCTTGGCACTCCATCATCTGTTCCCGTTATACATCACATTATGCACCTAAACATTATAAGGATTAGTAATGTAACATTATTTGATCATTTCAAATTACTACTGTTATCAAGTATTATGTATTTCCCACCATGATCTTAAACATTCGTGGTGCATCTTGACCGGAGATTCAGAGACTTTACAAAACCGCTGCTGTTTTATCCCGTGCCAGGACTATAGTCCCGAGAACGTCTCAATCTTTCAGTGCCTGTACGATTACAACTTGGGAGAATGTTTACGCCTCTTACACTGACTTAAAGATACCAACTTCTATTTAACATTCTTTTCGTGTAGTTGAATCCACAATTATCTGGGTTTATCGGCAGAACGAAGACATTTTCGTTTTTGATCTCAATATTTGCATGTGTTCATATTTTGAAATTATTTAGTTTGAGATACGTTCGAGTCATGGATTTCTATTGTACTTGGGTCGAGTACCAACATGGCTTTGGTAACCGATATAGAGAGTTCAGTGTCTCACATGGTTCCACTGGCCAGCAACCATCATATTACCCGATAATTGGTACACCTCCTTTAAGGTTCTCAGTGAAGATGCTGTACATTGCTTCTACAACCGCTGTTAGATTCTGTAGGTGTTTTTTGTATCAATGTAAAATGTGATTTGATTAAAAGGATTATTTAGTTCATATATTGCTTGAAACATCATACAAAATTATATTTTGAACTATTGAATTGTAAAATGTTGTTTATTATGGTTAATCAACCAGGACAAATAGCCAACAATTATTTCAGATAAGTTGAATGTGTATTAATGTAAAATTATGAGCTATTGTTATCATAACGTCATGTTGTTTATCCGAGCTTTGTTCCTAAGGAAATAAACTATTTCAAATATGTCACTAGCTAACAATTGTTTTATTTGAATAAATATATAAAATAATAAATAAAGGTAACGTGACGCTCGCAGTTTCCCATCATTAAACAGGAGTCGTCAAAGCATGATTAGAAATTGATAATGCACGTCTAACTCTAGCTAATCTTTGGTTAGTCCAACGCATGGGGATAATGTATCAGTTGAGAGATCTTATGCATCCCATCTTGATTCACAAGGTTTCGATTGTTCCTACCTCACCTTTATAAATCTGCCCGATTTAACCGACCACTGTGTAAATAAACCCCAACTAAGTTGACTCTCTATGTTGCTCCTCCTGGCAGTTGCCCGCAGAGTTTTGTGTGACGCACAAAACCAATCGGCCAATCAACGATGCGATATTTATTCAGTCCGTATAGGCATTTTAAATATTTTGTCATGTGACTTAGCAGAGCTTTCTGATTGGGTCTGTGGACTAAACACCGGGCCATGGACCGCCACATATGAATGGGAGAAACAAATTCACCTTTTATGCCACATGGTCTCTAGTTGTATCCAATAGAGGCCATTGTTAAACATTTAAGCATATTAGGATGATTCTAGACACTGGGTGTTGGACTGTATACTTGATAAAAATTATTTTCACGCACCATCTACTACATGGATAAGTAAGAAATTATCCAATAGAAATCAGACGATTATTTCTTTTTCATCACGTGGATTAATAGCACTATAAATAATGGAGATTCTCAAACGAAACCCAGTCGCTCACTCGAATCATTGATGACAAGGAGCCTTTGAAAGATGCATCTTTTAACGTTAGTATTTGGAGTGATCCTTCACGTCAGTATATCACAAGGTAAATAAAATATCGATGCCTTGCCTTTTCTTCCTCAATATATTCTTTTTGATATAAAACAAAAGCCCGAGGCTTTTAATTTACGGATACAAAATGCTTTTCGGAGAATAAAGAAAAGATGAAATGAAATAATAGCCATTATTGTTTGAATTAGAATAGCAACAGTCGTTCGAAGAATTTTTTCTGGAAATATCAACGTTTAAAAAGTCCCCATATAAAATTTGAAAATATAAATTTTTTCATTCATTTACTATTTGTCATGACTTCATAAGATATTTAGAGATTTTTGATAAAAAAATGGAAAAAGTTGTCAGCTTTTCATTCTCAAATATTCAAATTTCCCGCCATTTTTCCAAAAAAGTTGAAATTTTTAATCATCAAATATTCCACTATTCAGTGGAAAAACATTATATTTTAATACCAATGCAAAGATTGACCGAAGGACACACCATTTCAATGATAAAATGTCATATCTAATGTGCTACTTCAATATTTAAACCACTATCTACTGACAGATAAGTGTTGCTGTGCTTTCCTGTCATTTTACAGGACTTTAGAATCAGGAGAACCTGATCCATTTTAAATCATTAAAATAAACCAATATGAATCTCTTTTTTCCTGCATGCATCAGCCGGACACGAATGTGGAGGTAAGATGACATTTATTTATCAGTTTTGAAATGAGATTTGAATCATATATTGCTGATTTTAAGCTGTTAAAATCCATATCTTTGATTCTTAAATTATATTATTTTGTAGAACATTCTTCTATAAAAATTGACCATTTTCATCAACAATATGCTTTATTTTACGAATACCATGTTTGTACCAATCTTTATAAAAACTGTTTTATATGCAATTAATATAATTAGATAGTTCCATATTATTTCTTCCTGGATTTCTTCTACTTCTTCTGGTTGACTGTTATCCTTTATTTTGTTCCAATCTTTTACATTCTTATAAAATGGATACATTTTTGTTCAATCAAAAGGTTTGAAATCATAATTGGACTTAAAAATGAGATCTTGTCCAAACTGTGATAGTAACCTTCTTCTGAACATGTTACACAAAACACAAAAACAATTGATTCCAGAGTTTTTACGCGCAGATCGTGGCAGTCTGTCGCGAGACGCATCGTTTTACATATGGGTAGATTTTTTGGTTTCATTCTAGCTAATGACCACCATATACATGGTTAAAGTGATCCACTTCGACTATTTTCGACATCCGAAATCTTAACACCTATATGTATATTTAGATGGAAAATTTGCGTTAGTATTCATATTGACCACATAGTCTACTAGGTTGTGGCGATTTATACAATCCCACATTCTGTATGTTGGGGAATCCCATTCTTTTTCTTGTATATAATATGCTCATAAAGCGCATCATAAGTAGTTGTTTGTAAATATTTGTCATGGGAAGCGTAATAATACCAAAAAACGTAATGAGTTTGTCGTAGTCCATCTTTAGTTTAACTGATCACAGTCACGGTGGCATCATCGCCATCGAATTGTTTCAGTTATTGGAAAGAAATGGCACTGATCGTCTAATTTCGCGTTGGACCACTTCCATCATTCCAATATCACGTTTAGGGTGGTCCAAAATATGGCGAAAAACTAACTTTGTTTCAGATCATCTTCCTCATTTCACTTACTGTTGTCCATGACCTAAAACACCTGCACACCAAATTTTAAGACCCAAATCACATGGGAAATTTACCCACGCTTCGACTGAAAATTCGGTTATTTCATGATTTTTTGCTATTTTCGATAAATTGTCATCTCCCTTTTCCTGGTATAATATGTTTCTATTTTTTTTATTTTTTTGTAGGACTCTTTATTACTTCATAATACTAGGAACCCATACACCAAATGTTGAGACCCAAATCCCATGGGAAATTTACCCACGCTTCGACTGAAAAATTCGGTTGTTTCATGATTCATCTCCATTTTCCTGGTATAAAATGGTAGATGTCTTTTCATAATAAATATTTTTGGATGACTCTTTATTACTTCATAATACTTAGGAACCCATACATCAAATTTTGAGATCCAAATCCCATGGGAAATTTACCCACGCTTCGACTGAAAAATTGGGTTATTTCATATACAATACAATACATCTCTATTTTCCTGGTATTATATGTTTCTATTTTTTATAATAAATATTTTGGGAGGACTCTTTATTACTTCATAATACGAGGAACCCATACCCCAAATATGCACCAAATTTTGAGACCCTGGCCCCATGAGAAATTAATTCATGCTTCAACCAAAAATTTGTGATTTTCTGCGAATTTTCTCCTATTTTCAATACATCAACATTAATCTTATATTTAGTTTTTAAACATTTTAGGAGTACATTAATAGTCCACCCATGTAGCTCAGCGGTAGCGCAGGTACCTCTTACGCAATAGGTCCCGGATTCAATCCCCGGTTCAGGCAAGACTAAATTTGCTTGTTTGCGTGAAGTACTTTAGGGTGTTTGACTGAGTGGTCCGCAACTCGTACAAAAGGCTGTGGTGCGTACTTGTATGTCTATGTATAAGTGCACATAAAAGAACACAGGGCTCCTTCAACGAGGGGTTTCTGGGTCTATCTTCCATATTACTTACGTAAATTACGACCGTATATATACGGGACATACCCAAGAGGTTTTTTTTTTTTATAAAATTTATTTCAGTTTAACATAATTATTTACAGGTATGGTACAAAGATGAGGTTTCAAATTCATAAAGAGTATTTAAGTTACTCACACATTTTTCAATATACCATTTGTGAATAGATAACTTTGCTATCAGTATATTTTTGTAATTCTTTACTTTACCTATTCCATATATTTGATTGGCAGTTATATTTGGGAAATGTTTAGTCCAAAATTCAGCAACTGCTTTGCCAAGAGGTATTGCTCACCTTCATTGGTGGTAAACAAAATACAATACAATACAATAAAAATACGTTCTTAATACTAGGAACCCATACATTTAATATGTACCAAATGTTTAGACCTGAACCCCATGGGAAATTCACGTTTGCTTTGATCATATACTTTTGATTTTTGTCGTTTAGAGCACCATATCATTGTTGTGTGATGTGCAATTTGTAATAAATTGTATTACACGTTGTCTTAATTATCCTGTTTGGCCTTACATACGTTACATCGTGAAAGATGGTTATATAGTACTTTAAGGTAATTCCTTATTTTCAGATTTAATGGCTTCCTAATTGGAGCCCCGTGTTTTTTCAGGAACACATAACTCATTCCATTCAGATGCACAAACAGTGTATAAACATAGCACATAGTACATTATAGAAAATTACTAACCATCAACTAATAATCTAAATACATATTTGAACTCGGTGTAAAATTGAAAGAGCTGAACAAGTATGGAATGAGTTCCAGAAATAACATTGGACTCCACTTAAAATTTCTGAACAGCTCTTCCTATCTTCTACATTGTGTACTTTCAGGGCATGAACATTTTCAGAGAAATGACAAAGCTCAGTGGAAGCTCGAATCCCTTGAAGATTTGATACAGGCTTACTGGTTACAACAGAGACCATGCCATTGATACATTGATCAATCAAAAAATCATTTCTCCAAAGAAAATCAGATTTGATATTTGACCTTACCCTGCAAAGATGTGAGAAAGAATCTCACACAAATCCAAACAAAGTCCTGTGATGTATCCCTACTGAAACCAACAAACCAAATCTTCAAGGCATTTGAGTTGCTGTCGAGTCATCACTTCTTAATATTAACCACAGTATATAAATGTACAAGTAAAAGATCCTAAATTTTCCCCAAACTACTGAATTTGTCGCCTTTCAATAAGACTTAAAGTCTTGATATTTAGGTGTTTCTTTGGATTAAGAAGGAATTACCATAATGTTTATTAACATATTATGCCCCTAAAACAGACATCACAAGCTATCATAAGCACCAGTTTTCAGCCAAAGCATGGGTAACGTTCTCATTGGATTTGGGTCTCAAAATTTGGTGGATATTTGGTGTATGGGTTTTTAGTATTATGAAGTAATAAAGAGTCCTCAAAAATGTTTATTATAAAAACATATCGTACCAGGAAAATGGAGACAGCAATTTATTGAAAATCGGAAAAAATGTGAAAATCACAATTTTTCAGTCAAACCATGGGTAAATTTCCCATGGGATTTGGGTCTCAAAATTTGGTGTATGGGTTCCTAGTATTATGAAGTAATAAAGAGTCATCCAAAAATATTCATTATGAAAAAATAGAAGCAAATTATACCAGGAAAATGGAGACAGTAATCTATTGAAAATCGGACAAAACTGTGAAAATCACAATTTTTCAGTCAAAGCATAAAGTAAATTTCACATGGGATTTGGGTCTCAAAATTTGGTGTCTGGGCTCCTAGTATTATTAAGTAATAAAGAGTCCTACAAAAATGTTTATTATGAAAAAATAGAAACATTTTATACCAGGAAAAAGGAGATGGCAATTTATCGAAAATAGCAAAAAATCATGAAATAACCGAATTTTTCAGTCGAAGCATGGGTAAATTTCCCATGTGATTTGGGTCTCAAAATTTGGTGTGCAGGTGTTTTAGGTCATGGACAACAGTAAGTCAAATGAGGAAGATGATCCGAAAGAAAGTTGGTTTTTCGCCATATTTTGGACCACCCTAATCACGTTGTTTATAGTTGATGATTCAGTGATCACCATTACGTAGGGACAGTAAAGCTATAACTAAGTGGCTAGTGTGGGGGATAAACCGTCTGTTTTATGACCGAGTCCAAAGAGCGAAAATAACCTTCATTTTGCCACTTGATATAACGTGCTTAGTGTGATTACTAAAATCTCCGGTTGTACTCAGAGGTATGCTCACGTGTTTGGCCTTCATGACGTTTTTATCGTGTCCTTTGCAAACTTATGTACATATTTTTCGGTGCTACCATATGTTAGCGCGACACATTTCTGTGGGTGCAGAGTGTATCTCCGTTTTATACTGTGTTTAACACCCCTAACCATCAGCAACGTACAGTGACAAAATATACCGCCGTACAATTTAGATGTATGGTGTCACTATTAACTGATTTGAGGCGAACACTATGATGTAGGTTTGATGTAGGTTCTAAAAACTTTATCTGAAGAATACACAAAGGATTTCATGTTTAATTTTGTGTGTATTCGCTTGGAAAGACTTTTAGCTTTCTGATTATGTTAAAAGATTTTAGAGCAGTGCTCGATGTTTCATTTGATCATTTTTTCCCCTGTCGCCTAAGAGTGTTGATTATTTTTATGAAAATATGTTTCTCTAAGTTACGCAATTAAGGTCGGTTGAAGATTTAATAAATATTTACGTTTTGACTACAATTTAAAAAATCATAAGTGTACGTTGTCTCATTGAACTTACATATCTCAATTCACACTTAAAAAAGAAACATCTGCATTAGCAATTAGGGATACTTGAACATGTTCGTTGAACATAACTAATGTTACTCATAAAAAACGGAATGGATTTTGAAATAGAAATATTCCATTGTTTAATATTACATCTCTTGAATTTCAATTACATTAACACCGTACAGTGGAGTTGACAAAGTACATTTCTGACTTTTTAAAATTATACTCAATACATAATTATCTATCAAATCTTCACTCATCCCAGATTGTGTAGTTTAGGGAAACATATTCTCACAAAAACAATCGACACTCTTAGACGACAGGGGAAAAATGTTCAAAGGAAATTTGAAAAACCAACATTTTCCAACCGATCAATTTTTGTGAATAAATTTAGGACGAAAAAGTGTACGACGGTATGTTTCGGCACTGTACGTTGTCGATGGTTAGGCATGTTTAAATGAGATATCCAGCAACGTGTCCATTGCCCCTGGGAATAAAATTATAAAAACATACTATCTATATTTCGCAAACAAACATATTACCCATATCGTCGATCATTTCCTTTTCCTACCGATAATCAGTTTTTGTTAATTTTGTTCAGTTTGTTATATGTCTGACTGCTGCAACGACCGTTCAATCACTGGTAGGAAAAACATCAAAACGAATGGAGGTAAAATATTCAGTGCGTTTTGCGACCAAGGCTGGACGTACATAATGAGAAGATTCAATGGGCACGAGAATTTCTATCGTACTTGGAGGGAGTATCAAAATGGCTTTGGTAAAAGAGATGGTGAACATTTCATTGGTTTGGATAACCTTGCCAGTTTTGTAAAGGGGCGTACGTGCAAAGTGCGATTTGATTTGGAAGCATGGCCTCCCGTATCCCCAGCTAATAGGTTTGCCGAATATTCAGTATTCTCCATCGCCGACTGGAGCGATAAGTACCGTCTTACCATTGGAGGATACAGTGGAACAGCTGGTAACGCATTTGGAGGAGCAAATGGGGCCATGTTTTCTACCTATGATCAAGATAATGACAGTTGGGGTGGAAATTGTGCATTAAATTACAAAGGAGCAATGTGGCACAAGGCTTGTCATGCCGCAAATCCATTTGGTTTGTACACATACAGACGAAATTGTCCCAGTAGAGCCCAGTGTCTCACTTGGGTCCATTGGCCAGGAATCATCGCATCACCCGATAATTGGTATAACACGTTTAAAAGTTTTTCAATGAAGATAAATTGTTGCCACAACAGCTGCTAGATGTTAGATTCTGTTGAAGTTTCTTGTACAAATTGAAAGTGTAATAGATTTACTGAAACGAATTATTTAGTTCGCCATTGCTTGAAACCTACTGCAAAATTATATTTTAAACTAATAAATTGAAACATGTTAATTTTTATCATGGTTCATTTTTGAATTTGAATTTTTGATATTTCATAAACTAAAGGCATGTTTGGAAATCAATTATATTAACCCATTTGTAGAAGATACCTAATAAAAGGGAAATTTTGTCAAAAGTATGAGTATAATTATGTTCTTCATTCTTTAACTACGCACTAAGCATTCATCGTCTCTCCATAGCAAAGAATTTGAAACTGCTGCTTTATTACACAGGTTCAAGCCTTCATTCAGAATTTCTCTATAGCAAAGAATTTGAAATTGCCGCTTTAATACACAATCTACAGCCTTCATTCAGAATTGGTAATCGAGACCACTTGTTTCGAGGTAGCACATTTTTGTTCAATATCTATCATTTTGTATGAAATATATAGAAACCATTCAACCTTCAGAATGCAAATCATTTGTATTGATAGGTCATCTAAATCTAAATATAGAATTGACGCTTTTTACGCTGTGTAGCATGCTGCAATTTCAAATTATCACAAATTCAAATTAAGGTGCATTTCGAGTTTTTGGAGTTTTTTTTGAGGGGGGGGGGGGTATTTTATGTTCATTTTATTTTTTCGATACTTATCTAAAATGAACCTGCATTTGCATTAAACTGCATTTAATTAACGAGGATATTGAGATGATTACGAAGCATATGTGTATCTCAGTTTGTTCGAATCAGCTTCGGAAAATTTTTTAAAAAAATCCAAAAGAATTGTTAGCACAAAGAAAATACCGTGTTGGATGGGTCTACTAAAAAAAGAATATAAAAAATTGGTAAATAATTATCAAATAAAATTGGTACAGTTGAAAAGATGACTATTGCATTGTTGCTGTCTATTTTTTTCATATTTTTGGGATTACTAGTTTCAGAGAAAAAAATGTTGAATTTAGTTCTCCATATCGATATCCATTCTTTGAGATTTGGCCTTTGATTTTGAACAAACTACTCAATCGGCCGAGCGCCGGCCGATGAATCGGGGCAAATGTGACGTAGGCATTAGCTAGACATTAGGCTAGTCTTTACGATGGTGAACCACCATGACTCCCAAAATTTCATTTCATTTTATTATGTTATCGGGGATATAAAGTTAGCACGTATCTGTTTTCGCGACAAAACCGATTTCAACAGAACAACTCTTTCACGTCACGTAGCCGTTCAATTGCCGCTAATGTTTAACTTTGGCAATTAGCACATTGTAAGTGATTGATGTGAAAATTAGTAATTTTTTATAACATGAAAAAACACGTCATGTAGCACTAATTGTAAAATGACGGATTTCATTTCTGACCAAAGTAATTAGAAATACTGTTTGAAATTTTATCTATACAGTATATTAACAGCATTAATCCGTTATACATTTCTTTAAGTATGACCTTACCATACTCAAATAAGAGGGCTATTAGAGTACATTGCTAATATATAATAAAAATATACATATATGTATAATATGAATCATTTTCACACCTCGTAAAATCTAATGTGTCCGTCGGTTGTTGATTTTTCTCAAAAATCTGTTTTCATGATTATTTCAAACCAACGTTGAAATAAGGTAGGGATTATCACGATAATAAAGGATGCGAAGAAAATGAACCGACTGGCAAAATAAGACTACCAAGTACAGTTTGAATTGAATTTCACATCTAGACATACGTGTGAGAAGCACTGTAGACCAAAATTGAAACTTCAACTATTGAAATACAAAGTTATAAAATATCGTAGTATAGACTATTGTCTATTCGTGATGTGCTGTTTATGACACTCGCATCCCGTTTTTAAACAATTAATAAATATATTAAACGTGGTATGTATTGTTATATACTTTTACAATTTTTTTGTGCATTAAACAAGCGAGAAATAAAATGTGATGATAAAGCGACAATTAAAAGCTTTAGTGAGGATCTTGTGAATTCAACTCACGTAGTCAGTATGTTGAAGTGGGCGTTGACAATCAGCCAATTTACTTGGTGAGCCAAAGAACGTTCATGTTTTATTTCATTATGCATCGTGGTAAGCCACACCCTCTCCATCTCTATCCTTCTGGATACTGCGATGCAACAGAGAGAGAGAGATGCTATGAGTATCAGAATGTTCATTATGTGAGCTTGAGTTGGTTAAAACGCATTAATCAAATAAATCCTTAACTTCATGCCAGAAATCCTAAAAGGTTATGGCAAACTGTCTCGCAAAAAGAGAACATCGAAAGCTATTTCATATAGTGTAAAATTAGCATTTTCCAGGGTATCTAATTCTGGACAGGGGCCTGAGTTCAATGAAAACTCATTGTTTTAGTGGAAGGATAGATGGTCAGAAAATACCCATAGTCTAAAATTACTTGTCATATTACACAACAAATAAAAAGAGATATATATGCGTTTCCAACCCAGCCTGTAGAATGGATGATCACGTGATATGATTCTACGTGAGTTTCTATTCGTAAAGCTTTGAAACGCATCATTGTCATTTATATTGTTAGTACTTATCATTTCAAATCAGACGCGCAGTTGAATTCAAACATTGATGACAACTCACACAGGAGCTTTTAGAAAGATGCATCTTTTGTTGTTGTTGGGAGTGATCTTTGTCTTCACGATAGGTCGTACTCAAGGTATTTGTTAAGGGAAACGGGTCAAATAGCGCAACGATTTAATGCATTATGGTCTTGCTTATTTGAAATCAAAATGTGTTTAAAATAACGTGAAACAATGTTTTATTTTTATAAAAATCAAATTTTCAAAGTCTATACTAGACATACGTGGTTTGAATCATCGCCACTTCATCGAGTCCTGGGCATTTTTGTGTTCCAAAGCTTAGATTTTTATCCATCTTTTGTTTCGATAAACATTGAAAAATAATAAGACTAAATCTTTTTTGCATGAATTTGATATTTCACAAGCACTATAGAATACACTTTATTTTCTTATTGTTTTTTGCATCATTAGGTGGTGACAAATGTGAAGGTGAGAACAAAACAAATATTTCAGTCCTATTCGTCATAAAAACGTATATATTAAAAGCATGATCATTAGTACAATAACGTCATTTCTAAGGGCAATATAGTGAAATATTGGACCGAGGGCCGAGCCGCCGAAGGCCCAAGGTCCAATATTTCACTATTTTGCTCGCAGAAATGACGTTATTAGTATTATTACCACCGTTAACGACCAGGACTGAAAAAGCAAGAAAATCTTACGCATTGAACGATATCTAATTTCCCGGGGAAAATTGCCGGTCCAGAATATATTCTAGACCGGTCCATATGGACCACATCTATGACGTCACACATTTCTCAGGTCGATATAGTAAAATGAACGCCTTCTAAACTAGCACTAAAACCCCTAGAACTGGCCCGGCAAGGTGGTAATAATACGAGTTGCTGGCATAAAATGATTAAAAAGGTAAAATCGTCTATATTGTATACTATCATATGGTTTGCCTACTTGAGGGATCTGTATTAGTAAGTATTATATCATTGAAGTATTTTTTATTTGAATCAACTCTTATAATGTATGAATGACAAAATCTAGTCAAAGAAAAAGAATTCTTACTTAATGTCATTATAATACTTTTTATTATTTATTTTTTCAATTTTGTCTAGTTTGTTACCTGAAGGATTGTTGCGAAGACCCCATATCCTCTGGTGGGAGAAACATCAAAACAAGTGAAGGAAAAATATTCGGAGCGTATTGTGAGCAAGGTTGGACGTACATATTTAGAAGATTCAACGGGGTAGAGGATTTCTATCGTACTTGGGTCGAGTATCAACATGGTTTTGGTGACCCAAGATGGAGAGAATACTTCATTGGATTGGACAACCTTGCAAGTTTTGTGAAGGGTCGCAAGTGCAAAGTGCGAATTGATTTAGAGGCCTGGCCACCAGTATCACCGGCTAAACGATTTGCTGAATATTCGGTATTCTCCATCGCTGACAAGACCGATAAGTACCGTCTTGCCATTGGAGAATACAGTGGAACAGCCGGTGATGCAATGAGTCACCATAATCGACAACAGTTTTCGACGTACGATGAAGATAATGATATTGACAGTAGAAGGAATTGTGCAAGCGTTTATAAAGGAGCGTGGTGGTACAAGGGCTGCCACAATTCAAACCTGTTTGGTTGGTACTACAAAGGACCAGATTGCCCAAAGTATGCCCAATGTGTCGCATGGTATAGGTGGCCAACAGTCATCGGATCCCCTGATAATTTTTACTACTCATTTAAGAAGGCGTCGATGAAGATACATTGCTGTTAGAATCTACTCAAGTTTTGTGTTCATAAAAGTGAAATAAATTACGTTGGATCTCCGTTGGATTAAATAATTTACTATATGTTCTATTTATTTTAAATAGATGTATACATTTAAAGTACATTTGAAACGAAATTATTTTTATGAACTGCGATACCTGCTATACCTGTTATTTTCTGGTACGAAATAAAGTATGAAGAGATGTGTGAATTTTCTTGCTTTTTCAAGAAAGTATCATTACATTTCTTCTTTTAGTGAACCCTAGAAAGAGGTCGATGATAACTCCAATGTTGTCCAGAAACGTTTGGAAAAATTACAAAGGCGACCATTTTGAATGTTTTTTCCAGCATATCCTGGAGTTCCCATTGACCTCTTACCAGATTAACTGAAAAAGAAATTCACACACATGCCTTCATACTTTATTTTGTACTAGAAAATAAAATATACAATGATAGCAATTTTTACAAGAATGTTTTCGTTCCACTTTTATAAGTGAGTCTGTCAACCTTATATATACAGTCCTGTGGAAATTGCCCTGCAATTTTATGCACAAATTATCAATTTGAGGAAGCATTACATGCACAAAAATAAACATTATAACATTTCAATGAAGTAATAAGGTAAAATTAAATGCTATAAATATAACATAGCATATTTTCAAGTGGAAATAAAGCTAGGGGAAGTAACAAATATGCAAATTAATTTACTACATCGGCAATTTTGAATAGCAGTTCCTATGTAAACAACTATTTTTATACCAAATCTTAACATATGTTGATTATAGTCTGAATATTTTCATTCCTTTAAAAAAATTCAGACTAGAGGATATAGTTTAATCATCACCTTAAACGTTTTGAAAAGCAATATTTGAGAAATGAAAGGGTCATAATAACAAATTAATGATGTGTCATAATTAAATACAATTTGCACGTAGATTTTCAAGGACACGTGTACAATCAACCAATTCAAATAGCTTATCCCGTGCAGACAGACCTGAGAACGTTCACGTATTGTCCCTGTACGATTACAACATGGGAGAATAATCCACGCCTCCTACTGCTACACTTAGAACACCTAGCTCAATACATTTGAAAGCATTGAACTTTTGCTTCACCAATGGCTGAGAAAAATTCCAGAGAGACGTTATTTTATGGTGGGGAATCAAAACGATGGCACAGCCGCAGACTGCGACACGCACAGCCGCAGACTGCGACTCGCGTAATAGTATAGTTTTCATCTAGCTTTTGGAATCTCGCTAAATCTCGTTTTCGTGAGATTTTAAGAGATTTGTATATTAGACCTCTAATGATTTACATTACCTTCTTTAAAATGGCATATTTGAATTCAGTGAAATGTTTTCTCCTATCATAGCTTTGATTTACACAGTTATGTAATTTGAATAATTTTCTATGACAATTTAAAAAAATGCTAAAGTTCTTTAAAACCTTGGATTATTTGTATGTCAACCAACATTTGCATGTTTAATCACAACATGTACATTAACATGGTCATCATGTGGTATATCATTCAAGTTTTATACAGATTCAACTAAGACTCTTTGATAAATCATGAAATTAAGCAACTTTTCCAAGATTTTAGCATACAAGTGAATGGAACTCTAGCCCAAATTAAAAGCTTAATAAAAGATGGCAGCACTAGATTTCATTGCTTTTTCTTCTATTTAGAAACTATCCTATTCAAAACGATGTTACAACGCATTATTGCTGTACAATGGCGGTGAATCCAAACTTAATTTGGAGGGCATGTTAAGATTACACAACATGAACTATATCACCGGCTATATCCCATCTGGGAACACTAAACCACATTGTGATTTTATTCCAAGGTCCCATTCGGTGATCCACATACATATACTCAACCTGCAATAGCATTTTTGCTGCTCGGCTGTCCAATAGCTTAGCATGAACACACAAAAATTCAAAATCTGCCACAAAAATGTAGTTTTGTCGAATTTGATTTGTGAGATGAAGAAGGTTAATCTATTGGGTGAAGTGATGTCTAAATGGTACTGTAGAAGATGACTAAGATGGTGCTGGACTATTGCATGATTTACCTCTCGTTTTAAATAAACTCGTAGTCTGGAGGATTATCTTATATTCCTGAAACAAGAAGGGCATTGATGTAGTTTACATTAACTGACATTTTGTGCATTCGCATCTGGACCTGGATTTCTCAGTTTTGTCCATCTATGTGGAAGGCACTGCCGGATATGTCCCTCCATTTTGGCGCTGAACTGCGTTGAACAGTCCGCGGACGTGCCATCGTTTTGATTCTCCACCTTAAATTTTATTTAGGACTTTGGAGCGAACCACTGTTGTTCCTATATTGCTCCTTCTATGGTGGTATATTTTGATTTGTAGTAAAGAACTAAGATGTAAAACATATTAAAGGTTTAATTATCCCAGCGAACGAAATTCGAGGGGGATGTAGAGAAGCCGTCCGTCCGTCCATTTGTCTGGGCGACAACTCAAATACTCTAGTGACGAATTTAGTTCAAATTTAATAGGCTTATGCCTTATTGGTGTAGGACCTCTGCTCGAGAAGGACATTTTGATATGGCTTCTTAATTCAAAATTGCCGTTATTTTTCATAAAAAATATAATCTTTGATAACTCATGTACTAGTAGACGGATTTGATTCAAATTTTATATGCTGATGCTTAGGAACAAAGGAGCTTTGCTCAAAAAGTGATTTTCAAGATGGCTGCTTAATTTCGAAATGGCCGCCATTTTTCGTAAAAAACGAAATCTTTGAATCCTCGAATACCGGTGAACGGATTTGGTTCAAATTTTATATGCTGATGCCTAGGGAGTAGGGACACAGTAGTTCTGTTCTCGTATTAATTTTCAAGATGACAGCTGAATTTCAAAATGGTCGCATTTCTTTGGAATAAAACATAATCTTTGATAACTCAAATACAAGTTGACGGATTTGGTTCAAATTTTAAATCCTTCATCAAGAATTTTTTTTAGATAGCGGCTGAATTTTAAAGTGGCCGTCGTTTTTCTGAAAAAAAACAATTTTGATAACTAAAATACCATTTGACGAATTTGGTTCAAATTTTATATGCAGTTACCTAGGGACAAAGGAGCTCTGCTCAAGAAGAAACTTTTAAGTTGGCAGCTTTTTAAACTGGCCACCATTTTCTGTAAAACGCATAATAATAAAAACTCAAATTCCAATGAATTGATTTGCTTCAAATTTTACATGCATGATATGCTCCATTGAAGGAGAAAGGATCTGTCACCCCAAGTATATAAAAATGCCCCCAAAGCATCCATAACCATTATGACATATGATATGGTATATAGTAAGGAGTTAATCATAGCATAATGTTCAGGGGCATCCAAAGTGATATTGAGATAATCGGTCAAGGCAATGCATATCTGAAAATCAAACATTCCTGTGTGCAAAATCATCATTCATAAGACATAAAATGTAAAAATATAATAAAAAATTTTGTTAAGAACAATTTTAACCTCAACCTTTGACTTTTGAAAGGAGGTCAAACTTTCAAATTTCACAATTTTTATTTTTATTTTTTTCTTTGGTTCCATTGACTTAACATAGGGATATCATCATATATCAATATCATCATATCCTTGAGTTAAGGTCAATTATTCAAAATTTCAAATGAGCTGGGGGTAATGCTCATTCTCACCCTGGGGACACCCATACATATTTACACCTAGAGAGGTTACCATTAACCTCTAGTCATTATTCAATAGTATACCCTTTGTAAAGAAAAAAAGGTGCATGGTCTTTTATCAATCATAACATTTTCAATATTTTGTATAATCATACTAAACTCTTAGAGGCATATGGTGTAAATATAGTGAATATGTGGTAAAAATTTAAGAAATTAGATGAGCAATGGTTAAAGACATTGTCTTCACTAATGTGACTTTTTCCTTTCGTCATAAATTACAATTTGGGATTATACAGTGTAATACTTTGTCCTCTATGGCTATGACATCATTTTTTATATGTTAAATTCTTCATATCATTGTAAAGCCCATCTCAAACTGTTCATGACTGACAGGTTTGAAATAAACATAAACACACTGACAGAAAATTATGGTAGTGCCAAACCTCGTCAAAACATGATTTTCAGACGATTTTTGCTCCTTAAATAGCAGTGAAGTCAAGGATAGGATGTAATCATTTTGCTTAATAAACACATTACAATAAATTATCAAAAAATATTTTCGATCAGTCAAGCTTTATATATCAAGTTTTTATCAATACCATTGAAAGATGGCAGAGTTGTTTGTATTACATGATACATTCATTTTTATAGAAGTGTCGCCATCTTTTAAATCAATAGTAGTTTAAAACATGCACTTTGTTTAACATGTGCACGCATGTCTAATGATCTCTGAACTTCAAATGCTTTTTTCTAAGTGATTTAATTTTCTCTTGGTTCAATATTAAAGCAAATCAAACTTGGTGTCATATTTGAGCCAGTGTGTGAGTAACATGTTTTAATGATTATTTTTATTTTTTCTTCTAAATTAAGTATAGTGCGCCTTTAATTACATACTATTATATGATTCTTTTTATCAGGTTTTGGTAAAGATATAATTCAATCATTTTTTCACTTTACCTCATTCTGAATTTTGCATGTTTTGACGTTTTGACTGTGTAGTAGTAGTATATAGATCTAAACAAATGTTCGTGTTTTTTAGTCCGTCTTCGTCATCCAGAACAACGAAATAAATAGGGATTTAAATAGACAATTAGCTTGCAATTGTTTTCTTTAAATAAGTAAACAGAATAATAAAGGTAAAACTTGATATTCTCATTTTCGCATCATTAAACAGAAATCAACTTACATGATGAGATTATGCTAGTCTAACCTTCTTTGGTAAGTCCAATGCACAATGGTTATAGATTATAATTAATATTATAGAGAATTTAGTCACATTTTCTGAGGCAATGTCACCTTATCACATACCCCTTGGGAGCCCAATATTCGTATGTAC